TCACAGTAATGTACCGTCCTCGAGGGAACCAGAGCATTTTCATAACACAGTCTTAATGCGGTCAGCTTGGTAACACAAGAACCAGCTAGTTGATTAACATTTCTTTTCTACAACACATTGATTTTGTTTTTTGTTTAAAAGCCAAGATGCAAAAGCCCTAACTGGATTAAGGAATGAACCCTTAATCAGACTCCCTTATTGCACCATAGCATTTTAAGAAATCAACAACGCATAGACATAACACATATTTTATATTTATGCTGAGCGGGTGGATAATTAATGTCTTTACAAATGACTATAATTTTTGATGGCTTTTCTCCTTGGAATTGATGGTTTGGTGTGTCAGACCTCTGGCTGTGCTACTATGTAACTTTTGTAAAACAGAGCCAGAAAAGGAGGTGAGCTTTTCCAACCAGAATCTAATTCAAAAGGAAATCTCAGCCCACTTTTATTTGGGACTGATATTGCGAGGGTTGGCTAATGTTCCTCCTCACCCCATTTCCACAGAACAGCAACACAGAAAACATTTTCTCTTCTGGCTCCATCTTGCAGTGTCATCAGACCCAGCATCCCATATACCACCAAGGGGGGTTGGAGGGATATAGTGTTTTGGGGTGAAGAGTTCCTTCAAGACAGTTATTTCTGTATTGCAAAGACCCCACCACCTTCTCTGGCAAAAACTTGCATGAAGTGCCTTGAAACAGAAGGAACTGTTCTTTTGCCATATGAAATATGCTGCTAAGGGTTAATTGTATCCGTAATGGGTAGTTCCCAAGGTTGCTCTGTCCCACTATAGCAGGATCTCCCAAAGTGGTCAATATTTCAATATTCACAAACATGGTCAATGGGACTGTGCAGTGGCTGAATAAGCAGTTGAAAGAGGGTCAAAACCTGGGGGTTGTAAAGAAGCCTGTGGGGTACAGTGTGAAAAATCTAATTAGGAACTGTGAGTCTCAGAAATAAAGGATGTGGGCATGTGCAGAGTGCACCCCTTCTCACCAATGAGGAACCTCTGGTAACATTATTTCTGCTTGTTTCACTTCCTTATTTTTACATGCTCTGAATCCCAGTAATGGTAATTAATAAATTTAAAAATGCTGACTATATATTGATCTTTCTTTATGGTACGAATTTGGGTTGGGCAATGATCATAAGCTCATTGAGGCTGGATCAACAGAAGTATAGTGTCCAGATCAAGGGAAGTAATGGCCCCACTTTATTCTGCCTTGGTCAAACCACACTTGGAATACTGTGCCCAATTCTGCGCGACATAATTTAACGTGTACAGAGGAGGGCAACCAAGATGATAAAGGGTCTGGAAAGCAAGCCTTATGAGGAACGGTTGAGGAAGTTGGGTATGTTTAGCCTGGAAAGAGGAGACTGAGCGGAGATATGGTAGCTATTTTCAAATACCTAAAAGGCTGTCACATGGACTGCAGAGAGAGTAGGACCTACTTCAGATAGTAGGACCTGAACCAATGGATTCAAGTTACAAGAAAGGAGATTCTGACTACACACCAGGAATAACTTTCTGACGGTAAGAACTGTTCAGCAGTGGAACAAACTCCCCATGGCAGGTAGTGGACTCTCCTTCGTTGGAGGTTTGTATGATCTAGTTGAGATTTCTGTATCACAGGGGGCTGGACTAGATGACTCTCACAGTCCCTTTCAACAATTCTACAATTCTGATTCTAAGTGAACTTCAGGTTCACACTTTAATGGGACCACTGGGGGCTGGGACCAGATTAAGGCTCCCTCACAAGCCTCGGGTGCCATTCACACCCATGGAGAAAAACAAATCTTTGTTTTGGGGAAAACCTGCAGTAAAGACAAAGTTGCACTTCACCCCAATATTAGGTGATATGTCTCACACTCCAACCTTCATTGCAGCTTTTTAAGCATAGATTGGAGAGCCATCTGTCACAAATGCTTTAGTTGAGATTCCTGCATAGCAGGAGGTTGGACTAGATGAAACTTGGGATCCCTTCCACCTCTACCTTTCCATGGGTAGGCAACTTGCATCCCTTAGCCTAATTTCATGCAGCACCCCTGAAATGAGTGCTTATTACTGGCAAGAGTGACCTGTGTTGTCCCCCAGAAACCTTGCAGAGAAGGGAGGAAAAGCACAAGAGAGAAGAGGGGAGAGGAGTGGTTGCACCCACTGAGTGAATGTGGCCCTTGCCAACCTTGTGTTACAGCATCCTTGGCAGACAGAAGCCCTATCTCCAGACCCACGCTATCCATCAGACTGGCAGGCATTGGTTTCTATTTCATAAAAATAACAATGAAGCATTCCCCACCCCTGTCCTTTAATAAAGGAGATCAAATGTTAAGCTAGTTGAGAATTTGCTACATTTTGGAGCTGAACACAACATAATAGTCACCTCTGTGATTAAAACACCCCACCCCAATGTGACTGGCCAGGTTTATGAACTCCATAATGCCTATCAGAAATATCTGCCCTAATTCTTGCAAGACACTCAGTTCTTTAAGGAAGAGCAGTCTGACTTTGTCTAGACAGTCAAGCTGTGCTGGCCTTCATTAAATCTTGAGCCAACAACCAGTGTTCAGAGAAAGTACTGGGAGCACAGCCACACTGATATTAATTCAATAGGCACAAAGTTCTGTATTCACCTGTTTCAAATGAGGTGTATGAGTCAAAAGAAATCTATTCAAGCTTTTGAATGTAGCTGGAAAGAAAACAGGAAACCCATTCCAAGATTACAGGTTAGATCAGTCAGATACTCCTAGAGGAGGGTGGCAAACCACTGGCCCTCCATGTTGCTGCTGGACTCCAATTCCCATCACCCCTGAACACTGGCCATGCTGAGTGGGGCTGATGGGAGCTGGGAATCCAACATCTTGAGGTCCACAAGTTAGTCACACTTGCCCTAGAGCATTCATGTCCAAAGTCCACATTGGGGGCCTAATCTGGCCTGCCGGTTGGTATAATCTGGCCCCTGTGGCAGTTTATTTCCTGGGGTAATATCCTAAAAAAACCTCAACAACTTCAATTCAATCCTAAAAAGCTCAACAACTTCAATTCAAAAATTTTAAAAAAGGTCAACCACTTTGGTTGGCCCTCACGGCCCTTCACTCCATCACTTCATCAAATCTGGCCCTCTTTGAAAAAAGTTTGGACAGCACTGCCCTTAGAGCCTTTTGGGCTCATTATTGCTATCTGTATGAGAGCTTCCTGATGCCTGGCCAACCAGTGGCGTAGCGTGGGTTGTCAGCACCCGGGGCAAGGCAAGTAATTTGCGCCCCCTAACCCGTGGATTTGCGCCCCCTAACCTGTGGATTTGCCCTAACCCCAGATGTTGTGCCCTGTGCGGCCGGCCCCCCCTGCACCCCCCACGCTACGCCACTGTCGCCAACTGTTGTTAGACCAGAGGGACAACTGGCCTGATCAAGCATTAACATCACTTAGTATTCTCATCTCTTACTTCTAGTTTCTGGATTTTTAAAAGAATGAAACTCCAAATAACTGTTATTGGAGGTTGGTCCCATCTATCCTCTGTAACCAAGATGATAAAATAATGGAAAGGATGGTTTTCATTTTCACTCTGAGCCTTGGAAGAAAGGTTGTGATCTGCCCCAATTTCATCTTCAACTTAAGCGGGATGTGATAAAGGGGAGCAGTAAAGGCATCCTCTTCTATTTGTCTATTGGTTAGCTTTTCTAGTAAGGCTGTTTCCCATACTACACCCTTGTGCAAATTAATTGAAACAAACAATGAATTTAAGTAGTTTATTGTACAGTACAAAACTCACATATACATGTACAAAACTCACATATATGTACATTAGTAACGGATATGACCTCCGCTATTTTTAAGCAGCATTTGAACACGGTTTGGCAAGGAGTCTACTAGTTTCGAACAGTCATTGTTGATTTTCGGATCCCTGTATCACACTTGAATCAGCGCCTGAATGAGCTTCTCCATAGTCGTACAGTCTACAGCACGGAGGCGACTTATGAATATAGCCCACCAATTGTCAATGGGATTTACGTCTGGGGAATTCTCTGGCCAATCAAGTACCTGTATTTGCTGCTCTGTCATGGATTTATTCACCACTTTTGATGTGTGACGGGGGGCTAGGTTCTGCTGCAATATCCCAGTACCGTCAGGATGCCACTTTTCCAGCTCTGGAATAACTCTCTTTCGTAGAACCTCAACATATTGTGGCGAGCGCATCATTCCTTCTATTGGCTGCAGGCTTCCAATACCATAATGATCAACTGAATTTTCATGTTTGTTCTGAGTACAGGATTACGAGTAAGATAGAAAACATGTTTTGTTTCAATTAATTTGCACAAGGATGTACTTGATACCAGTGTTCCATGTTTATTCCTGACAGATCCTTCCAGTGTCTGGCTATGATGTTTCTGGCTGCTCAGGGGGTTATGAGCTCTTTATAGTGTGAGTGGGCATTGTTATCTTGGAAGATGTTCAGTAGGGCCAGTTTTGGGGTGACTTCTAGCACCTGTTTAGTTATTTTGCTTATTTATTGTATGACTGTTGTCCCTAGGCCACCCCAGCCTGTCTCACCACCAAGGAAACATAACAAGTGAATAGAAAGAGAACCTACCCAAGTGACATTGACACAAAAATCCGGCACATACACTAAGTAAAAGAACATAAGCTTTACCACCCCACCCCACCCCCTCTCCCATCTCCCTCTTTTCTTCCCAACCCTATACTGCATATAACACCAATGTCTCACAACAAATGTAACTGATCTGTAGAAAACAAAACCTGAAGAAAGAGACAATGAATGTGCTTTTGTAAACGAGGAAAATATTTAATAAAAATTATTTATACATATATAAAACTAAAGTGGGATGGATAAACTCCTCCTACATTCAGTGTGTGGGTTTTTTTTTTTAAACACACACAAACACACAGCAGAAGTGGGAGTCGTTTGGTTATGAGGACAGCATTCAGAAATAAGTCATAAGACAGAAGAATTTGCTAAGTTGTAAACCCATTTTGTCAGCAGCAGCAGCAGACTGGTGCTCCTCCATTTTGATTCTACAATGTTCCTTCATCAAAAATTGGCCCCTTCAACTGCCATGGGCTTGAGTCAGCCACTTGACAAGTTTTGTCACAGTCAAGACAGTTGAAAAACAGAACTGAGTCTGAACTCAGCTCTCATGTGCTTCTGAGGGTTCAGTGGGTTCCTCCCATTGTTAAATCTCTCTGCAACTAAAGATACTGGGCATTTACCTTTGGAAGGAAGTAGAAAGTCAATACAGGAAAGAATTGAAATCCATCTAGTAGAAGTACAGGTGCTGTATTTTGCCCGCATATAACCTCCTACACAACACCAAATCTATTACAGCAGTTTGTGGAGTTCTTCAGTAGTGCTGATTGATGAGAATTCAGCTCCATACACTCCACTCTCTTGCTCAGCTTACCATAGCAAGAATACATTGTTCAATATTTAATTAGCCTTTTACACTGTTTTAATCCAATTAACCCAGCATACTGCCTAATGCGTACTATTTAGGTCCTCTCAATAGGCTGAGAATGGGCTCCAACAGGCAGAGCTAGGGGTGGGGGTGGGGGTGGGGAGTGATGGCTGGGAAATAGCACTGCCTCCTCTAGCAGGGTCTACTCATCTCCAGAATAAAAAACAAAACAAAAAGTAGATCACTTTGCCATCAACCTATTGAGCCCAGTGTTGTCTACACTGATTTGTAGTTACTCTCAAGACTGCACTCACTGTTCTATTCAAGATCCTTTTAAACTGGAGGAGACCTTCATGCTGGAGTTGTAGGGTGAGGACTATCATCTTGACCTGCTTACATGGATCTTTCATACCCACAGCGTGAAAGACCTTCTTGGAAAGTACAAGGGGAGCAGTAGATAACTTCAGGAGAAAGCATTAGAACAAAGTCATCAGAGGCACTAAAAACATCAGCCCCAAAGCACAAAATGATTAACATAACCAACAACATTTTATGATCCCTTTCGGTTCACCCTGCCAATAAATTCCTATTTCCATGAACTGGTTGGTCAATCCAAATTGACCTCCACCTTTTAAAGTGCACTATTTTGGTCAAGGACAACTAAAAAGTGTACCTACAGCCTATGAATGGAGTCCTAGAGAATTCCTGCTCACTCCTATGAAGGGCATGTCCTCAGAGGGCTTAGCCTACATATGCAGCAGAATATTTGATTTTAACCTGCAGGAACTCTTTACTGGTGACTTTATTATTTACAGAGAGAAGTGCTACAAATGTGCTCCCCACTACACAGTCTGAAGTAGTTCTGAGAACCTCTGATTTATTCTGCTGCAGCTTGTAAGAACCTAAGAAGAGCCCTGCTGGATGACGCCAATGACCCATCTAGTCCAGCATCCAGGTCTCACAGTGGCACAGCCCCTTCTGGGATGCCCATAAGCAAGACCTGAGTACAAGAATACTCTTCCCTCAGGGGTGCCATCTCCTAGGAGCTGAGCCCTTTTGCCCTCCCAATTTTTGGGGGAGGGCCCCCAAGTCCAAAAGCAGCAGAGGCGGCCAAGCGTGGCGTGGCTTCAGTAGCTGGCTTCTCCTCCTCCAGTCATGGAGCGAAAGGAGCAGGGAAACAGACCCTGATGGTGGCAACAGCAGCAGCAGCAGCAGCAGCAGCAGCAGCAGCAGCAGCAGCAGCAGCAGGAGACACGGCCATTGAAGCTGGGCTGCCACTGCACTGCTGCCACGTTCGGCTCTGCCCCCAGCTCCTCCAACATCCTGACATCATGTACCACGACACACTCCCCCATTCACCTTCAGAAGCTGGCGCCTCTGTCTCCCCTTCCCTCTGGTTTCCAACCACTGGTATTCAGAGGCATACCACCTTTGACAGCAGAGTGAGAACACAGCCTTATCCACCTGTTTAATCCTCTTATAAAGCTCTGCAAGTTGGTTGCCATCACCACCTCCTGTGGGAGGGATCCAGCTGTAGATTCTGCCACAGCAAGCTGCAAATGTTTTAATTTTATTTAAAACATTTACACCCCACCTCTCTGCAAGCAGAGCCCTAAGCAGCTAAACTGAAAGAGAAAATGGATTTCTACAAGTGTTAGTTCTCTGGCTGGATAGCTTCATTTCATAAGACAAGAGTGAATGGCCGAAGAACTTTGGTGGGAAAGTTAGACATTTGCCTGGTTGCATTTTCTAACATATTGACTGCCAAAGCCAACAGCTACAAATAATGTATCCATCTATAATGGGAGGAAGAAGAATTCCTGGCAAGCATAATTGTTGCTAAAAAAAAAAAAAAGGCACTGGCAAAAATTTGGGAGGGGATTATGCGATTAGAAGGGGGAACTGGGCTGCAAGGGGGTAAAAATTCACTGGCAAGAAGAGTTTGATCAAAAATGCTGATGCTCAGACTTTTAGAAAAGAGGCCTCGTGTGACATGCTCCATTGCTGAAATAGCTTGATTAGCCTTTTAAAACTTACCACCCCACATTTGGCACAGAGGGATTAAGGTTTCCTATAAGAAGCCACTGGACTTGATTGCCAACCTCTGTAGGAGTGAAATGGTCAGGATATTCACCCTCATGTAATGGGCATGCAGGACATTTTAAAAAATATTCTTAAACCCGCATGTTATTTCTAAATATTTAATTGTCTCTGGCACAGTGAGCACCATTTGTTCAAAACATTTATTGAAAAATAAATGAAAGAGGCAAAAAGCAGGCTCAAATCCTGCTGTCCTATGAATTCCTATGAACTCCTATGAATTCCTATGAAGTCCTATCAAGTCCTATGAATTTCTATGCAGTCCTATGAAGTAGTAGCAGCAGTGGCGGCAGCAGCAGCGGTATCCCCCACTGCTGGGATCTTTGCACGAAAAGCATCCCATTGCCAAATGAAGCAGGCTGGAGGGTGGTGTGAAGTCGGCCCCGGTGCATTTCTCCAATTCCAGACCCTACTTGACAAGAAAAGAAAGGAGTCAAGTACCGATGCTTAACTGGGATGGGTCAGGGCTGTTTCCAAAGTGTCTGTGCTGAAGTTTTCCCAACAGAAGGCTTTTCTGCTTCCTCTCAGGTTTGAAATGGGATGCTGGACCACTAAGCATGTCCAGCTCACTGTCTTCTACTCAAAAGTTCCTTTCTGGGTAATTTACATGCTTGCACCTTCAGGCAGTTTCCAGGGTTAGTGGTGCTTTGTGCGCTGGAAAAACATACATCAGGCTCCCAATCTTGTTCTTTAGAAAACAGGAGAGTCACAAAAACTGCAAGGCCCCTGCAGCAACCTCTTGATCCAATCAGGATCTGAAAATAAGAAAACAGGTTGTTGGAGAACTAATGAGGAAAGGCGATAACGAAAGAGAAGGCCAATCATGAGACAATAAGGGGAAATGCCTCACAGTACAGTACACAGAATACTACCATATTTTTCCGTATGTAAGACTAGGTTTTTTAACTAATAATAATGTTTAAAAGGGGATAGTCTTATACACGGGGACAACCCCCCCCCCATTTTCTAATTTTAGTCTTATACACGGGGGCATGTTATACACAGATAAATACTGCCTAAAGTGTTTTGAAGAAAATAATCTGGGGGTTAGGGTGGTGGGAGGCTCCACAAAGCACATTGTTCTGTGGTCACAAATATTCTTCACACATGTAATTATTTGCAAACTGTTATTGGGGAGCACAGATTTGCTTCAAAACATATTGGACCAAAGAAACAGCATTATGTGCAACTTGGGATCTTCTTGCCTTTTCTTTCATGGATGACTTCAGTCTCATTATGATACACAAAAAGAGGATGACTCCCCATTCCAAGAAGTGCAACTTCTGGAATGATATCTCAAGTGGATTTTGAAATGGAGAAATGAGAATCTATGACCTAACAAAAAGGTCAAGGTAAATCAATATCTGGGGTGTTTAGGCCTCACCCAGCTGATAGGAATGCTTGATAGGTGCCTAGGATGGATCAATGCAGAGCCTGCATCTTTGCCCAGATCAGAAACTCAGCCAGACTCAGCCGCATTATCCACTCCTAGGTCTAAAGGAAAGAGCTCACCTTCTGGGGTTGGATTCCGGGCGATGCTGTCACGTAGCAAGCATCTTCTGTACACCAGGCTTTGGCAGGCTTGATAGGTAAGAAAGCACCTGCAGAAGTGGCAGAAGTGGGAAAAGAATTATGGAAAGGCCTTTGTAGTTAAAAGGATCAGATGCTTCTCGGAATGCCATCTGTGCCACCCTTCGGATTATAGCTGGAGGACATGTAGCCCTCCAGATGCTATTGGACTCCAACTCCCATCAGTCCTAGCCTGTAGAGCTGACTGTCAGGGTTGTTGGGAGCTGGAGTTCTGTAGAACTGCACAGGTTCCCTAGCCCTGTTTCAAATGATACCAAGAAAGGAAATACTGGACTGGATGAAATTGAATTCTGCTCCCATGGGAATAAACAGGACGAGTAATGAGTTAACTTGCCCAATAATTTCAGTAGGGCCTAAGATGAACTAACTTAGTCTAGATCCAAACTCTTCTAAACAGAAATCACCAGTTGTGTATAACACAACTAATGAAAGCAAATCAGATTATCCAAGACTAGTACAGGAAAAATATGAATTTCTTGACTGGGCAGGAAAGCAGGTAAGACACATAATTCATCTCTCCTATAAAGTGGGAAAAGAACACATTTAACCACTGTAGCTACAATGATATGCTTGCCTCCAAATCTCAAAATTCAAAATTTTGTCAAGCAAAATTTCCACTAGTTCTGCCCTGAGGCTTCAAGATCAGTTTTGATAGCCTGGGCACAGAATGTTAGCATCTTTTAGCAAATACACTCAAAATAATGATTCAGATGACATTATTTTTCAAACATTGTTGGCATGGTAGAACTATCCTGCATAATCTGAGGTAGTGATGCCAGTTACCCACCTTACTTAAACTAGCTGGCCACATTGCCCACCTACCAGGGTTTGAGACTACCACATTGTTGGTTTACACACATGTTTTTAGGGGTATACAAAAGTTTTTAAAACGAGTACATTTGAAAATACTGGGATACTGTATCAAAAAAATACTACATCACTGTCAGGGAGGCAATCGGGAAACACTAGTTTCAAATCAGAACAGCCAAGATTAAACAGCACATTCAAAGGCTTACAAGTCTATAATGACAGAAACTTTGGTGGAACAGAATCCATTTGGTCAGATCTACCACAGGTTTCAAATCAATCTGGCAGCAACAAACAATTCTCCAATAGAGTTTTACTTGAGCACAGGCAGGTAACATACTCCAAATAGGCTCAATATTTAGCTTCAGCACTTGTAGTTTCATGGTCAGATTTCGATTCCTACCCCTTTGGCTAATTTCTTTCAATTTAATGAATCTATACCCTTTGTTTCAGCCCATCTTAGGCTGCCAAAACAGCTTCTTGAGATAAAACACATTTCACACACACCAAGAAACAAGCACAAAGTTAAAGCCATTTTAAGTTCTGACACAATTTTAAAGACAGTTTGGGGTGTGTGTGCATATTTACAGGTCTGTCCAAAATAGCACAGGCTGGGAAACACCTCTTGGTGTTGAATGCCCGCTTGCCTCCCAGGAACCTCAAAAGCGATACAGTGGTACCTTGGGTTAAGTACTTAATTCATTCTGGAGGTCCGTTCTTAACCTGAAGCACCACTTTAGCTAATGGGGCCTTCCGCTGCTGCCGCGCTGCCAGAGCACGATTTCTGTTCTCATCCTGAAGCCAAGTTCTTAACCCGAGGTAATATTTCTGGGTTAGCGGATGTAACCTGAAGCGTATGTAACCCAAGGTACCACTGTACACCACATTCCGGTGTCTGTTGTGAACAAGATGGCAATGAGGGAAGTGGCAAAAGTTAGGCACTCAGGCACACAACTGCCAACAGGCTGAAATAGGAATTGAAAAGGAATTTCAAACTGTCTGCCTAAGAGCCATACTTCTCCAGCCCTTGCAAGCAAGCACCCTGCCTGTTTGCAGACTTTCTCAGGCAAGCAGAGATCAACATGATTCTAACTCTCTGCTCCCCTCGGCATGCAGAAAGGCATTTCACAGCCACTGATAAACACCTGCCCCCCTCCCTCCACTTGGCTAAATCAGAAAGAAGGGAACCTGACAGCGCTTGCTTGAAGTTGGGCTTACCTGAGCCAAATGTGTCCGTTGGAGCAAACTGCCTGCTTGCGATCTGTGAACGGCAGGATCTCTTTGCACAAGCTGCAGTGCTCTGGGAAAGTCTGTTTGTTCATTTTCTTTAAGATATGCCCAATCAGCACCTGGGAACACACAGCAGCAGCAGTCAGTAGCAGCACTTATAGGAAGAGACAGCTGCCTGCTGAAAGGTGGGGAAATCTCACAGGAGTTGTGAGGCGAGCTTTCTGAAGAACACAAGATGCAAAAGCCCAAGCCCTGCTTAAAACGGAATACAACAGAATGAAAAAGCAAGAAAGGCGTCTCAGGCATGCAAAATGCAGAGTGAATGACTTCTCCGCATGCTGCTCAGGTAGTCTGAGGAACTTAATTGCCCTAACCCCCCACGCATTTCGGAAGAAAACTGATGGTTGAAGGTAAATCGAAAAGAGAGGAGCTTTGCCTCAAAGCGCATGTTACCACTCAAGAGAACATGATAAAATATTTTTGAACACTCTTTCTTATGTCAGCAGAGTTTCAAGTCTTAGCTACTTAGGAAGCTGCAGAAAAATATGGGATTTTGGCAACCACGGCACTGCACAATTGTTATTTATGTAGAACCATCAATGGAGGCAGGGCTCTATGGACCACCTGCTCCCACATCAACCAAGCAGAAAGATCTTTTGCTGTGGCTCTTAAGAGTTTTGCAATCATCACAGATTAAAAAGGAAACAAAGGAGAAGGCTTCTTCATCTAGGGTATCCCAAGCTGGGGAACTCTCCTGAAGCTGGAGTGGTCAGTAGGGCAGGGTGGTAGTGCTTACCTGGCTTCCCAATTTCAAGGTTGCTGCTAGTTAACAAGAGGAAGAAGGGAGGTTGGCATGGTGCAGGCATCAGACTGGTTGCACCCTCCCAATGACAACCTCCTGGCCACCTGCACCCTTCCCCTGGTACATGGCAACGATATTGGTGTTGGGAATCCAAGTATGCCTTGCTGACTGCTCCAGCCTCAAGGAAACTTACCTGGCCCCCACTTTATTATCTAGAAGGCATCAGCTTCATACATTTTTATTCTCTCAGACACTGTAATGGTTTGTACTTTAAGATCATAATGGAAGGAATACACATTTTAAAACCACTGGAATTGAAGTTGGGTTTTTGTTTTTTTTTACTTTCCAATTTAATTGCTATTTTGTGTACAGGCAGCCCCCCATTTATGCACATTCAGTATGTCTGCTCATGTATATGTGAATCGTAGCAAACCTGGAAGTGACTTGGAAAGGTCATAAAAACATCACTAAAAGGGTGGGATGTGGGCAGAGCAGGGGTGGAACATGGTGTTTGCAGGCTTTTTTGATGGGTTTCAATTACACCCCATTTCACCAACATGTGCAGTGCCTCAGAACATAACTCTGCATAAATGGGGGGCTGCCAGTATTGTGCTAATTATGTTATTTGTTACCTTCATTTGGTTTTATTGCATATTTTATTACTGTTATGTTTTAAACTGTACTGTAAGCACCCAAAGTTGAATATTGTGAAGGACTGTATATATATACATTAATGAAAGTAAGTAAATCAGACATAAGCAAAAGGTCAGGTCCCCTGCCCCAAGGATCTTACAATTCGTATGTCAACTGGAGAGGCAGCAGGGGAAGGCCCTAGCACTCCCTCCTGAAAAGTGTGATGTTTTGACTTCTACAAATATTTACTGATTTTATTTAGGATATTAATATACCACTGGGTAACTCACAAGTTTTGAAAGCAGTTTATTTGTGAAAAAGTGGCTTACAAGTAGGTTTCAAGAAAGTTGATCGCAGTCCAGTTTAGCATAAGTAAGCAGTCTCCTCTGCCTTACAGACTGTCTATACAGGTGCCACTTGTCTTGGGGGGCCCAGCAACCCTTTCCCACCCCAACCCCGCCAGACCAAATTCAGTATCAGATAATGCCCAGGCCAGGAGGACAAGGCAGCTCCTGCCACACAGTTCTTTCCTCAGACAGGTGATTTGATGGTAGTTAGAATCGTCACAGAAGGGGAGTGACGCAGAGTCGACTGTGGTAGTTCTGGCCTTAGCAAAGAGCACCTCCCCTTTGCTCCCTGATGAGATCTGGCATTAGATCAGATCAACAAGTCCACGATATTTACAGAAGCCAGTAACAGAAGTTGTGATCCTCTGGCAGACCCTCAAGAACTATTAGGAATCCAAACTATAACTTGCTAATATGGGCAGGTGGGACCTGCTTTCTTTGACAGCAGCACAGTCAGTGCTACCAGATCTGCCCAGTGGATAAGGACAGATAAACACTGAAGGGCATCAGAAGCCTGCACCAATGACCTAGACACAGTAGCCTTTGACTTTTCCAGATTAGAGACCATCTTTTTAAAATTTTAATATGCACCAAGGTTTACAGTTGGCTTTTGAATTGTGGTTTGTTTGTCACACATAACAAGAAACTATGGTTGCTTCACTGATTGCACAAAGAGAGGAGCAAAGTGAGAGAAATGGGGCTGTATGTGCATACATGAAGCTGGTGCATATCCTGGTTTCTTAAGCCAGGATTTGATAGGGCAAACTAAGCCATGCTATCCTACTGCAACCCAACAGCTTTTATGCTGGGATGCACTTACCCTTGCTGTCCTGTCATCATAACTTTCATCAGACATTAAGAAGTCGCAGACTCCCCTCGTGGGAATGCTGGTGTTCTCCGTAATCCATGTGTGAAGGTAGACTTCGCCCAACACTTGCTTCATATGTTCCCGTGTCAAATGCATTTCAACTGCTTCAATCTGAGCTTGGATTTCAAGAAGCTTATCTTCCATTGGCTCCCGTCCTCCTATGTCACTGGAGTAGACAAGAGAGTCATCTGCCAGATCATCCACATCTGCTCCTCGGATTATGTCGCTTGGATTCTGCTTGCTGCCCTGTTTTGAAGTGCCTTTGTCTTGTTGATGATCTTCACTGGTGCCCATCCCAGGGGAATGTGCTATTAAGACTTTTGTGTCCTCATGGGTTGGCTTCCACAGGGCCTCAGAGGGAGCCTTCTGCAGTGACTGGTACAAAATCCGCAAGAGAAACAGTTTAAAGCGCCAAAAATAAGTGGACCCAAAGCTCTCAATCTTTTTCTCCAAGGCTTCCTGTAGGAATCGTGGAATGTGCTTATCTTTCAAGATCTTCCAGCGGACAAGATCCGTGAGGTCAACCTGCTTGAAAAGGTTTTGGACAGATGATTCTAGCAGCTGGGCTGCTGCCTCCTCAAATGTTTTAAGAGTCACAAACTGGACCTGGTAGCTCTTGGTGATAGGGTGGAGGCCATTGGTCATGCCTTCTGTGGTCACTACTGCCAGGTACACCCCACATGGGCTTACTGCGATCCCGTGAGTCCGCACAGAGCCAAGCACTTCAGACAACTTTATCAGCTGGTGCTCAAATTTCAATGCAACATCCGTGAAGATGGGAATCAGCTGCCTGACCTTCCCATCAATAGAGCATGTGTAGACAGTCCCATTCTGTTTGTCTGTTGTCATGGAAATGATTGGGAGAGAGTGGAGCCCTGTAACATGTGAATTATGAACATTTAAACCTGCTTTGGAGATTAAAAGAAGACACCAGAACACATAGCATCCTCTTGCGGCCACCACTAAGCTACAGCTGCATTTCTGATATGGGTGGTAGAGGGAAATGCTCTTGATGCTGTGTACAGGCAACTGGTCCATCTCTTGCCACAAAACCACCGGTTGCCTGAGGGTGAAATAGCCCTTGACTGCTTTAAGGTTGACGGGGAGGATTTTAACGGGTCCAAAAGCACTCCCAACAATGAGACCACTCATCTTCCTATTATTGTGCTCATATTCCCACCATGACAATACGCTGGGGGAAGTGATTCCTGATTCAATAGTATTGCAAGAGGTAATTGATTCCTTGCCCATAAATGGGAGCTGGAACTGCCAGATGGCAATATTGCCATTGTCAAAGATTCCAGCTAGCAGCACGCTGCCCACATCCCGACACTCATTATTATGCTTCACCTGCTGGGTGGTGCAGATTCCAGACCATTCCATGCGCACCAGGGTTTGCATGCTGTGCCTTCTTTGGAATTCGGAGAAGTCCCCTAAATCCACCCTGGGACCCTCACCCTTACAAAGCCGGTAGCCGTTCTCAAACAGGCGCTCTCCATAGAGCTCAGTCAGGTCAACCAACTGCACCCACTGAAGTCTGTCAAGGTTAGCGTGGATGGTCAACCTGTTGTCCATGGTTAATGCTGCCAGGAGGCACCTGCTGTTTGCATCACAGCCCAGCGGAGACCAACTGGAGTATCTGAAACCTCGCATGGACGGCAGCGACTTCCCTTCGGGGTTAAACACCCTGTCCAACATTAACGTCTGGCTCACGGTTGGATCCTTAGAACTGGCAAACTTTTCCTTACATTCAGCAGCTTCCTTTTTTGAACCAACCTGAAAAAGAATAAGTGTGTTAAAAAAAATAACAATTAAACATTTTACTAGCTTGTTCAAAATGAAGGCTGGTGTAGCAGCTTAAAGGTATTTAAATGAGCTACTTTTAGCAAAAGCCTGGTGCAATACTGGTGAAAACATCTGATCAAGCAAGCTCTTGCCACAACTTTGAACACTCTAGCATTAAATACCGTAAGAGCAGCCCAGTAAGATCAGACTAAAGACCTATCTTAGGGAGGTCCAAATTTTTATACCAAGTGGGCGGCTGTAGTAGTTTGACATGGAAACTGTGAGCAGCACACTGCATGTGGCCCTTGGGCTGCATGTTGGACCACCCTGGCACAATAGCCACCTGCTGTCATTGTTCCCCTGCAAATGGTGCAGTATTCAGAAGCCTCTGAGCCTGGAGGTAATATAACCATCATGACAAGTAGTCACTGATAGCCTTATTCTCCATGAAGTTGACTAATCTCCTTTTAAATCAGTCCAAGTCAGTGGCCATCACTACACCATGTGACAGCAGATTCCATAGTTTAAGTACATGCTGCACCAAGAAGTCCCTCTTTTTGTCTGTCCTAGTCTCTCACCATTCTGCTTTACTGCATGACCCCATTGGGTTCTATTCTTATGAGAAAAGGAGAATATTATTATAACTTATTCTTATTGCCCACCTTTGCTCCATAAAGAGGCAAAGGCAGTTAACAATGATCAAAGTAATAGAAATTATAGAAATACAAACTGTTATATTTAGCACATTTCCTTCTGGCTTTGTAAGAACAGAGCAATAGCCCTCCTGGATCAGACCCAATGCCATGCAATTCAGCATTCTGGATTGTATTACAACTTAGTTCTACTCAGAATACTCACTGAAACTGATATATTTATTTCATATTTTATTTATCTCATAAAATTAATACACTGCTTGATTGCTTTTTAAAAAAACAAAACCCTAAAAGCAGAGAGGACTAAAATACATTCATTTTATGGGATCTACTTTAAGTAGAACTAAGTTGGATACATTCCTCTGTTTCGTGCTGCAAGCAAGCCAAGGACACTCAGAAGTAGCATATGAAGACAATCACATTCTCGTTTGTCCTTAACACCCGATACTTAGAGGCAGTTATCATGACCCCATAGCCCTATCCTCCATGAATCTGTCCAGTCCTTGTCAGAAAGTAAGCCATTGTCAGAAAGTAAGCCTTGTCAGAAAGTAAGCCATTGCTGAACATCAGATGAAATAAAAACATTACTAGCTGCCTGCCCAAAAGTCAACTGGGATTGGTCCAATCTAATCCTATTTGGGGAGCGAATTCTACGGCCAGTGAGCTGCTGAAGAAAAGGCCCTGCCTGGTATTCCCAACCACCAAAACCTGTTCAGAAGGTGATTGTAACCTATGAGCCATTGCAAATGAGAGGAAGAAGTCTTTCAGATATCCTGGCCCCCTTGAAGAGAGCCTGGAAACAGAAGCCATTGCATTCCTATCACCATCAGTCCCAGCCACACTGGAAAATGGTCAGGGATGATGGGAGCTCTAGTCTAGCAAAATCTGGAGAGCAGTAAGTTTCCCATTCTTGATTTGACTAAAAGTCATTTGACATGAGCAGGAGGGAGGGACTGTGGCTTTCATTTAAGAGCCCTCTTACCATTTCTCCCCACGCCCAATCGTTCAAGAATGAGACTTGCAGTCAAGCCCACATCTTGCAGCAGTAAGTTCCACATGCTGGCCATGCCTTGTTCTAGATATGTAAAGCATGGAGGTGCACAGACTTCAGGTTTGTGGGATCTACTTTGTTTTAGTTTTTTTTTTTTTAAATAGAACTCTGAGTTAATAAACCAAACCAGCTATGATGTGGAAGACAAGCACAAGAAAATCTGAGCCCGGAAATGAAAAGAATTCCTAACTTTTCACACCAAAATTCACTTCTGATTACCCAAAATTTTCTTCGTTTCAGTAGTAGCAAAGGGTGGGACTCATTTCACTGCTGCTGTTAAAACACCTGAAATCCTTCCAGAATTATTGCAAACCACCCAGAGATCTGGTGGTTCCACCTGGTATGCAGGCTAAGACCCTACCTGCCCGCAGACTGTCTCGCCAGAGTGGTGCATGCTCTAGTTATCTCCCGCTTGGACTACTGCAATGGGCTCTACGTGGGGCTACCTTTGAAGGTGACCCGGAAACTGCAATTAGTCCAGAATGTGGCAGCTAGACTGGTGACTGGGAGTGGCTGCCGGGACCACATAACACCGGTCCTGAGAGATCTGCATTGGCTCCCAGTACGTTTCCGAGCACAATTCAAAGTGTTGGTGATCTTTAAAGTCCTAAATGGCCTCAGTCCTGAATACCTGAAGGAGCGTCTCCACCCCCACCGTTCGCCAAGGGCCTTCTGGCAGTTCCCTCACTGCGAGAAGTGAGGTTACAAGGAACCAGACAGAGGGCCTTCTCAGTAGTGGCGCCCACCCTGTGGAACATCCTCCCTTCAGATGTGAAGGAAATAAGCATCTATCCTATCTTTAAAAGATGTCTGAAGGCAGCCCTGTTTGGGGAAGTTTTTAATATTTAATGCTGTACTGTTTTTAACATTTGATTGGGAGCCGCCCAGAGTGGCTGGGGATACTCAGCCAGATGGGCGGGGTATAAATAAATAAATAAAAATATTATCATCATCATCATCATCATCATCATCTACCAGGAGATCTATCATGTGGTGTAGTGGTTGGTGTTGGACTATGGAAGAGGTGCAGGAAACCCTTTTCATCCCTTCATAGGGAGGATATGGCAGTGGTAGATGGGGCCAGAGGACAAGTGGGCAGAGCAGCAACAACAAAACTTTTGCACTTTCCAGTCATTCAAACATCTGACTTTTCTACCCAGGCAAGAAAGAGGCAGTTTGAAGGCACATTTCAGTGAGGCAAAAAAAAGGTGTGGAGCAGGATATCTGAGGGGGTGTGGCCTGAATAGGGGGTGTGGTCTAGGGAGAGTTCCAAGGGCCAGATTGAGTGGGGCCTGGGGCCACATTCATGCTCCTGAGCCTGAGGTCCCCTAACCCTGGAATAGGATCTGTAAGACTCAAATCACCACTCAGCCACATAAAGCTCATTAGGTGACCTTGGGCAAGCCTCTGTTTCTCTTTGCCTAACCTAACATGCTGGATAAGAGAATAAGGGTCGCTTACTTCATTAAGCAGAGAGTGGAAGAACCATGTTAAGCTACTTTGCTCCCTTTGCAGAAAAAGCAAGGTCTGCATGCGATTCCTGCATTGCAGGGGGTTGGACTACATGATGGGGGGGGTCCTCTTCCAACTCTATGTCATTTGAGAGCACAGGCTGCGCTTAACGTTAGTCCTACTGAGAGCGAACTCCTTTAAAACAGACACACCTCCGCATATTGTGGCGGCGGGTTCCGCTGGTTGATCATGCACACGCCGTGCATGCCTAGACGCGGCCGCCCATCCCACCCTGCAGCGGTCGCCATCCATTGCCCACCTTGAGGTGACAAGCGGCGGCGGGGGCCGGCACGGCCGTGCGGTGGATAACGAGGTCAGCGCCGCTGCTTCCACCTCCTCCTCCTCCGCCGCCGCCGCCCTGGACGTCGCTGAGCTGCTCCAGGACGGCGATGCTGCGGGCTGTGCAGACCGACACGCGGTGGTCCTCGGACCAAGCCAGCGGCTCCACACCGCTCACGCCGTGCTGCAGCCGCACTGCCGGCTCGCGACGCACCGCCGTCAAGCGGAACCCCGCGCTGCCGCTGCCGCTGCTCGGTCCCGCCGCCTCGTCGTCTTCCTCCTCTTCCTCTTCTTGAGGCGGCTCAGCCTCCTCCTCGTCGTCGTTCCCCTCTGTCAGCGGCGACGCTGCCGGCTCCACTGCTGGGCTTCCCTCAGCCGCCGCCATCGCCATCTTATCGCCGCCTTAAAGGCCGCGCGACCCTCCCCTCCACCCCCGCGACGCTCCACCGCCGCCAACCGTCACTGACCACCATCCGAGCATAGAGAGCCCATGCGCCGCCGCGATTAGTTGGGGCCTGCGAGGAAGGACCTTAGTTTATCTCTCGCGTGTATGGTGGGGAGGGAGAATCCGTTCGAGGGGTGTCTAATTAAGTGCCTGAGAAAAGGAATTTGGATTTTTGAGAGTGCGGGTGCTTTTTGGTATTAGCAGAGGAAGGCAATTACGGTATTTTATTTTGTTTTGTTTAGTATCCCTGGGGGGCTTTAACCAAGCATTAGTTTAAATTTTTGTTATTGTTACTCGCTTTTTTTTTTTACCAGGGCAACTCAAAGCGATGTACATACATTAAAACTGGCCTAAAAAAGTAGAGAACAAAAGGAGTGGCTATCCAGGTTACGCTATTATTTTATGTTGCTTTTATTTATACCTCACCTACTTTTCCTTCTCCCCGTTTTGCCCTCACAACAACCCTCCGAGGTAGGTTAGTTAGGCTGAGAGTGAGTGGCTGGCCCAAAGTCACCCAGTGACCTCCATGGCCGAGTGAAGAGATTCGAAGACTGGTGTCCCAGGTCCTAGTCCGACACTAGATCCACTACAGCACACTGACTCTATTATTAACATTATCATTTATGAGACCACCAGCCTCAGGTTCTAGGACAGGATATAACAATTAAAACACTATGTTAAAAACGACTTGGAATCACGTAAGATGGGTCCTAAAAATACACCTTTCAATTGTCGAAAACGCGGAGGGGAATAAAGACCACAGCTCCTATTATCATGTTTTTGTGTGCCTGTTGTGAGTGTCCGCAACCAAAGTAACACGATTCAAACAGGAAAAACGGCCCTGCGGCACCTTAAAGACTAAGACACTCGCGATTATGTATAACTTTTCCTAACACAGAATCCACTACACTTCTGCTTTTCTGCAAGGGATCTTATTAGACACCTATGTTTGGGGTCCTTCTACTTCCAACATACGCACGTGGGTGCTGGTGGGGTAATGACTCAAGTGTGCAAAACTCTGGGAGTCTGTATTGGGAGTTACTACTGCTGTTCCCCTAAAAGCCTGGTATTAAATCGATTTCTGGGTCCCCTAACTCCCTGTCAGAAGTGCTTCGTTTCAACCAGCCATGGATTGCGATGAGGGGCTGTTCATCAACGTCTGCCAGCGTCCTTCAGGTTTGCAGCCCCGCACTCAGCAGAGGACAGCCTCAAAGCCACAGCATGGCAAGGCAAAAAAGGTATGCTTGTCTGAGGTTGCTGGTGAGGGAGAAAGCGTTTTGGGGGAAAGGGGGCCGCCAGAGTGAACGGAGTTGGAGCAGCTCCTGTACCTACCTCAGTTGGGGCGTTTTAGTTTAGGTTGGGAGTTGAGTAAGGATGTGGGTGAGTGAGATGTTTAAAAATATATATATGATCAAGGAGCTGGAGGAATTCCCCTAGTATTAGGAAAGGCTGCAACATGTTTAAATGGTTTTTTAAAGATTTTACTGTGTTACAAAAGTACATACAGTGTCTTTGATTTAAGTTCGTAGAGTTGAAAGGCTGCAACATTTGAGGCTAATTTATTTAAGGGAAAAGGCTGAGTAAGGGAGGACATGGTAGATGTGTATACAATTATGCATGGTGTGGAGAATGGGTTTATCTCCCCTTCTCATAAAACTAGAACCTGAGGTCATCCAAAGTAGCAGAAAGGTGGGAGATTCAGGGCAGACTGAAAGAAGGGTTTTTTCACACAGGGCACCATTAAACTATGGGATTTGCTCCCACAAGTTGTACAGTGGTGGTAGTCAGGGCAGTGATCTGGCCCTGGGACTCCAATCTCAATTGGGGGGGGGGCTCTCATTATGACACTTGGTTTTTTGGAGAATTCGAAAAGTTCCTCAATATGAATTAATATTGGAGAGCCTATGTGGTGTGGTGCTTAGAGGTGTTGGACTAGGACCTGGAAGACCAGGTTCAAATCTCTTCTCTGCTATGACTTGGGAACCAGTCACTGCCTCTTGGCCTAACTAGCCTACCTCACAGCATAGTTGTGGGGATTAAACAAGGAGGGAGAGAATCATGTACACCACCTTGGAGAAAAAAGATGGGATATAAATGCAGCAAATAAATTGTGACACACTCATCTTATAGCTGCAAATCTAAGCAAATAAGAGACGTGATTTTGTAAAATATGCACAAGTTTTGTTAACTGATATAGAACCTAGGGTCATAGAACCATAGTGGGGAGTTCAAGGGTCACCTGGTCCAACATCCTGCAGTGCAAGATTTTGTTCTGTACCTAATATCAACAGTGATGTTGCATGAAACTAAGGTTTTTTTCATCAAAAATGATTTCATACCACAGAAAAAGACTGGAAAAGCATGTGCCAAATTAAAAATATTTTGTTTGCATATGTCATAATCCTTTTGTGGCCATGTTTATTATAACGTGGTGCCTGAAAAGCTAGAAGTAATGTGAGGCTTTTCTATCCTCTGATAGGTCGTTGCAATGCCCCAAAACTAGGAGAGCTCTGAGTGGCAATAACATAATTAATAAATTTTCCCTCTCCATTATACTGCTGAAATATAATTAAGATTTTTAGGGAGTGGGGGCATGGATTTTTATGTGGCAGGATTGTGAAGTTAGTTTAAGTTCCCGTACTTAAGACAAATTCCTGAGCACAAAATTAATTTTACGCCTTTTGTATCAGGCTCTGGTTGGTGAATTTCAGGGTTTGCGTAAAAAAAAAAAAAGCCCTGCAGAAGTCTGCCCACCCTTGGTTTAAGAGAGCCAGATTCAGTATCTCTAACAGTAGAAGAGCTGTGCTCAATCAGGGTAGTCCAGCACCCTATTCTCACAGTGGCCTACCAAGACACCCCAATGGGAAGCCTGCAAGCAGGGCCTGAGCACAAACAGCAACACCAGGGGTCAGCAAACTTTTTCAGCAGGGGGCCGGTCCACTCTCCCTCAGACCTTCTGGGGGGCCGGACTATATTTTGGAAAAAATATATGAATTCCTATGCCCCACAAATAACCCAGAGATGCATTTGAAATAAAAGCACACATTTTACTCATGTAAAAACACACTGATTCCCGGACCGTCCGCAGGCCAGATTTAGAAGGCGAATGAGCCGGATCCGGCCCCTGGCCCTTAGTTTGCCTACCCATGAGCAACACTTTCCCTACTTGTGATTCCCAGCAACTGGTATTTAGAAGTGTATTGTCTCAGACAATGGTTTGAAGTTGTTGGTTTGAAACTAACCATACTTTCCATGAACCATGGTTTGTCAGTCCAAATGCCATGACAAATATGGTTAAGCAAAATCTTCTGAATGCCAAGTCCCAGCCACGTGGGAGGTGGGAACCACATAAGCCTAGGCTAATTCTGACATTCGTTGCTGAATCTGTCCCCCTGTTTCATCTTGTTTTTCTTCCTTAAGTCTGGGCAAATAAAATTTGAATGCCCCCAGGAAGGGAATCCACTAAAGCGGAAGCCAGCTCCACCTTCGCCCCAAACCAGGAGACCACAGAAGAAAGCTAAAAGTGGCATCAGAGAAGCAGGGTTGCCAAAGTTTCCTTCACAGAAGCCTTTAACTGATGCAAAGGACAGTGACGCCAGCAGCAACAGACCTTTTGTTAAGACTTCCTGCCTCTTCAAAAACAACCCTGAAATTCCAGACATTCAGAGGTACTTATTTTTAATCCCGCTTTTCTGATAAAATGTGGGTAACCAAAGGGAGGGAAAACTTCATGCCTAGGTGCAAAATGTGGTCCTCCAGGCCTGTCTGTCTGGCCCTAGGAGTTTCATGTAGACCACCTTCCCCAGCCACACTCTCTTTTCTTAGGCCACACCCTTAACTAGTCTTTCTTCACAGCCCCCTTTGATGCTTTTGCCAGTCTTGATTGTGCTAAGGACTCTTGCTTGTCTGGATAGAGAGGGATGTGTGAGTGTGTTTAGAAGTAGCCTACAAAGGTTAACAAAACAACAACAACAGTAATAATAATAATAATACATGAATTGCTCTGCCTACTTTTGCCTCTGACCCTGCCCTACCAAAGTGCCTGTGGCCCTTGCCACAAATGCGTGTTTGTCTCAGGTTTGGTGTTCCTCTAGCACACTGGAAGCGCTCTCCCTTCTACAAAGTTGGAACCATCCTTTCTAGCCATGTTTCAAGGTTGCGACTTAATAAATTAATTCCTTCTACAGAACATCAGTGAAGCAAGTGCAGGAGAAAGTTTTCACTTCAGACTCCTTTGATCAGCTGGGCCTCCATCCCCATTTGGTGGGTACTTTATTTCTTTGTGCTATGTCTCAGTAGGTGTAGGAGTAGTTAATGATATTTATTAAATGCCTTTCCTCAAAGATCCAATGCAACTTTACAAAAGTTCCTGTTCAGTTCCCAGCATACAGCACTAAAGCATTATTTACAATGTCCGCAATACTATTTTGGTGTGCAGAGGGGCCAGCTGCCTCATTTGGAATTGTTGTTGTTGTGTTAAATTAAATTTTTATACCACCCTGTATCCATAGCTGTCAACGTTTCCCTTTTTAAAAGGGAAATTCCCTTATTCCGAGTAGGATTCCTTGCAAGAAAAGGGAAAAGTTGATAGCTGTGCCTGTATCTGAAGATCAGAGGGGGATACTATGTTTTATCTGGTCCAGGGATGGGGAAATCTGACGTCCTCCAGAGGTTGCTGTGCTCTCACAATCTCTGACCATTGGCTCTGCTGACTGTGGCTGAAGGGAGTTGGAATCCACTAAATATATGAGGAGTCACAGATTCCCCAGCTGTATCACACTTTACCCTGTGGGGTGGGTTAGCTGGACCTTTCCCCTCCTCTGTTCCCCAGAATTAGATCATTCTCATCATCGAATTAGAAGGGACCTTGGAGATCATCTACTCTAACCCTTTGCTTAATGCAGGATCGGAATTGCAGGATGCAGCGTCTACAGAAGTGGGGAGCCTTTGTCCCATGGGACAAATTTTCCCATATGTTACTCCTTTAGTACAAAGTGGCTTGCATTGAAACTGCAGAAAGGGGTTCTAAGCTCATTTTTAACAATGCCTTCTATGAAAACTTTGGCAGGTAGACGGGATGCCCCCCCGGCCCCCCCTCAATCATCTGAAGTTACTAGGGATTGGGGGGCCGGAACTCACTGGAACTGAGTTCTGCCACCTCTTTGTAGCGTACTGGCAGCTGTGTCAGAGGCTTCAGGCTGCATGCAGCTCATCGCTTTGTGTCAGAGGCTGTGGGGCAGCGCATTGGTGTCAATTGGGCAAAGAAGCATTTTTTTAGGCTCCCACTCACCTGCCATAGTTGGCCCACAGATGTGGAGGCAGTCAAAATATCTGGTCCTGTAGGCCTAAAAGTTTCCCTCTTCCTGGAGAGATGGTCATCCAGCTTCTGATTATATATATCCAGCAAATGAGAGCCCACAACCTCCTGAGGGAGTCTTTTCTTAAACAGCTATTACACTCAGGGGTCAGCAGACTTTTTCAGCAGGGAACCGGTCCACTCTCCCTCAGACCTTGTGGGGGACCAGACTATATTTTGGAAAAAATATACGAATTCCTATGCCCCACAAATAACCCAGGGATGCATTTTAAATAAAAGGGCACATTCTACTCATGTAAAAACATGCTGATTCCTATACCGTCCATGGGCCAGATTTAGAAGGCGATTGGGCTGGATCCGACCCCCGGGCCTTAGTTTGCCTACCCATGCTTGAGTTTTCCCCTAATGTTGACTGTTCCTGTTAAAATACTTGTTGCTTTTTCTTCATTCTCCTCTCTGTTTTAACATTTTTGACATGATACTGGTTTGGCTATTTCTGTCCTATTCTAGGATCAAACATGTTATGCCCTAAATGTTTTATTTTTGTCTCTACCTCCCCACCAGGTTTCAACCCTAATCTCTGTCTTAAAAATATCTAGCATGACCAGGTAAGGGTGTGTAATTATTGCATGAATAGAAGTTTTTATTGTAAGTTGCCTAGAGACTGTCCTGGGTTTGATGACTTAACAAATCAATTAATCAAATTCATTTTTGTTTGGGAAAAAGGCAGATTGGAAGAGACATGATAAATATGTAATTCTACATGGTGTGGAGGAAATGAATCTCGTGATACTAGAAGTCGGGGATATCCAGTGAATGTTAATTTTGGATGGCTGGCAAACTCTTCCTAAGATTTAGTCCCAAAGCCTGGTTACAGCACTGAGAAGGTCTTGTCCTAGGTCCCAACAGGGTGTGTTCCTGGGGATGTTGGAACACACAGGAGGAGCTTGGAGAATGGTCTCAATAGGCAGGCGCATGGTCCTTTGGACATCCCAGTTACGAACAATAACGGCCTTTAGAAGTCATCACCAGCACTTTGGGTTGGTGTAGGAAGCAAACAGGAAGCCAGTTTAGCTGTTTCCATAAGAGAGTTGCATGCTACCCATCAACAGCTTAGTCACAGCAATAGGGACCCTTTCTAATTTCCAGACTGGAGGTTCCCACTGCTGCACCACAGTATTTAGTTAACCTATTATTATCTTAACAGATATTAGTTACTTAACCAACTATTATGTATTGTGAGGGATTAGACTAGATCAGACATGGGCAAACTGAACCCTCCAGATGTTTTGGGACTACAACTCCCATCATCCCTAGCTAACAGGACCAGTGGTCAGGGATGATGGGAATTGTAGTCTCAAAAACATATGGAGGCCTGAGTTTGCCTATGCTTGGCCTAGATGGATTTTGTGGTCCCTTACAGCTGTACAGTTCTAGGATTTTATTATTTAACTATTAACTGACAATTACTTAACAGACTGACTATTATCTCATTGACTATTATCTAACTATTAATTAGCTATCACCTAACAGACTGAACCAGCATCTTTCTAGCTTACACTAATGACCAGCCAGCACTGTTAGATGAACTAGCAACTGTTACATTCTTAATACTTCGACCTAAAATAGAACGTGACTTGTTTTTTCTTAACTTCTCCTTTTGTTGCAAAAGTGTTCAGAAGCAAACTATTCCCATACTATTGCAAGGAAAAGATGCACTGGTGAGATCACAGACAGGTTCTGGTAAGTGTGGGGGAGGGGTTGTGTGTGTATATGTAGGCTGTTTGTTTGGGCTTTGCTTTAAAAGGGGGCCTACAAATAATTTTAAATACAGTCATACCTCGGGTTACAGCCGCTTTAGGTTGCGTTTTTTTCGGGTTGTGGACTGCCAAAACCCAGAAGTACCGGAATGGGTTACTTCTGGGTTTTGGAAGTCGCACATGCACAGAAGCGCTAAATTGCGCTTTGCGCATGTGCAGAAGCGCCAAATCGCAACCCGCGCATGCGCAGACGGGTTGCGAATGCTGTGGGTTGCGAACGTGCATCCCACACTGATCACGTTCGCAACTCGAGCATGCACTGTATAGTATAAAGGAATAGTAGGTGACCTTTGACCCTCCAGATACTAGGCAGGGACTATTAGAGTTGTCTTTCAGCAACACGTGGAGGGGTCAAAGATTCCCTCCACCTGGTGTAAAGTGACCCTTTGGTTGTACTGCATTGTGTGATGGTCAGTTGTGTGGGCCCTCTGTTGTCTCAGGGATCTAACAGAAGTAGGGCAGTTGATTGATTCTGGCCCACCATGGGGAAAGAACAGTGGTGATGTCATTAGCAAGCGAGCAAGCTCTGTGCTAGATTTGGGAAGCCACCTTTGACATGGTGTGTCAATGGCTAAATGTCTGGTGCAGGGACAGGGAACTCGCTGCTCCTGTCAGTTCTAGGCAGCATGGCCAGGGAAGATGGAAGCTAGAGTCCAACAGCATCTGTAGTTCTGTTGAGTCAACCCCATATGTTCCCACTCAACCACTTCAATCACTGGAACTGGCAGTGTTACAGGTGCCACAAAATACTTGTTCTGCACTTGTAAGGAATCAATCTTGTTGTGTGGTGGCACCTCCTGAGAGATAGATGGATGCAAAAGATGGAAGAATGCCTCTTATTTAGAAGAGACATTCCCAAGAGAGACAGAGAGAAATGGAGGGAGGTTGTGGAACCTGTTTCCCTCTATGCATTGTTGGACTCCCAACTCCCATCAGCCCCAGCCAGGATGGCCAACAGACTGAGGATGATGGGAACTGTAGTCTGGCAATATCCAAAGGGTTCCCCACTCCTAATCTGAAGAATGAGGAGATATGTGAAATTGGTCTTTTATAAAGGCCTATGCTCTGGGTGTAGAAGGCAACTGTGCCTTATTCCACACACAGTTTTGCTTATGACTGTTAAAATCTAATATCTTTTCTCTTGAAGGTAAAACTCTGGCCTACGGAATCCCTCTAGTACAGGCCTTGCAAAGAGCAGAGCCGAAAATAAAGGTGAGTGTGTTGAAATGGGCTTTCTCTCTCTCCACCTTGTAAAAAAGAATAGCCGGTTTTCTCAACCACTTCATATTTATCAGTAATTCTCACAACAACCTTGGATGATGTCTTTAAGGCGGAGAGCATCCCCCCCACCAGGACCAAGGACTGCTGTTCTTGTGCCTTTCACTTATGGGAGGATGCTTGCTGTTTTAAAAATGACTATGAAGGTTGAGTTCATTGGCATGACTTGTGGCTCCCTCAGAGATTTTCTGATAGTCCCTAAAAAAGCTCTTCTGGAAGCACCATGTGAGAAAAGAGAGTGATCCAAGCAGACTCTGGCACTGCGGGGAATTGTGGCATGCTGGGTCGGTCGAAGATGACAAGGGCTCTTTCCCTTCTCTCTCGCGTTCCTCTGTGTCCAATGTTGCCACTTACCCTACGTCTCTTGTTTCCATAGCGTAGTGATGGTCCGTATGCTCTCGTACTGGTCCCAACCAGGGAGGTAAGTTGCTGGGCATTTGTGGTTAACTCCTAACCACACTGGTTTCATGGTTAGTAATGTTGCTAGGGGGGCAGCAGGCAGCCTTCAACCTAATTGCATGTGGGTAACAAGGAGAGAGGCACAGAGAGAGGGAAGGGGTGGTTGAAAGGGGGGAAGGAGGGAGAGAGAAGGGGTGGTGAGGAGAAGGGGAGGAGAGAGAAAGAAGGGTGGTAGAGAGTGCTTGCTCTGCATGCAGAAGATCTCAGGTTCCATACCCAACAGGTCCTGGTAGGACTGGGAAGGATTCCATGCCTGAAACCCTGAGGAGCTGCTGCCAGCCAGTGTAGACAGTGTTGAGCTAGCTGGACCCACTAGCCTGACTGGGTATACCACTGGAAGGAGTGCAGAAAGAAGAAATGCCATGGTGCATCTGCACTAATGAAACCTGACACCTTCAGTTTCCCCACCTGCAATAAAACATGTCTCTCTCATATTGGCCTCTACAGCCATAGCAGACGCCGTAACTCTCCAGTGGTTTGACTTTACCCCCTATGGCACAGTCTTCCATTGTCTCTTGAGACAGACAAATGCAAACAACAACAATATAAAGAGAGCCAATGGCTTTCAAGCTTTTTGAGTCCATGGCTGCCTTGACCAACTCCATTCCTTCTGTAGCACCCTGTGCGGGTCAGGAGCCCGGTTATGTCACCCCTTGCCTGCAGAGCTGGCAGCCTCTCACCCTTTTTTGAACACCCTCCTTTGTGGAGTGTTCCCTCAGCCTCTTTCCTTCTCTGTTCTCGGGGGTCCTCCGGGCAACTACTGTTACCGCCCTTGATCTCTGAGCTGCCCCCACCCACCCCAAGGACAGGTGGGAAGAGGATGTTCATAGCCTTAGTGGCCCATCAGAGATTGACCAAAGGTTAACATGGGGCCAGCACCTTACCTTGGGTGGCAGCAGTGGGTGCTGCTGGGCCTGCATGGCGGAAAGGCTCCCCTTCAGCACCAGGCACTCGGCTCCCAGGCAGGCCATGCACACAGCAAGCACAAGAAAGGCCAGCGCAGTGCCTGCCTGCTTGCCCGGCCTCCCACTTGTCTATTCATTCCCAACAGCAAGCTGGTGGCTGGCTGGGTTCCCTCACCCGCTTGCTTACTCTGAGGCCTCCTCAGCTCCTGCCAACCAGCACCCCTTGGTCAGCCCAGAGCCACCATTCGCCTGGGGAGCTTGTAGCCAGGGCTGCTGCAACAAACAGCTGTGCAAGGCAGAGATGAGAGGGCATCAAGGGAGGGAGGGAGGGAAAGAGGGACAGAGGCCAGTGTTGCCTGCAACACCCCTGACTATTATTCAAGGCACAGCACACTGGTTGAAAACCACTGGTTTATGCCAAAGGAGAATGATGTTTTAATGCAAATTTTGTGTGAATGTGTATTAATTTGGTTTAATCCCTTCTTTTCTCCAGCTAGCTCTGCAGAGCTTTGAAACTGTCCAGAAACTGTTAAAGGTAAATATTTACTTTTGGGGAAGTAGGAATCATTTTAAGTTCTGTGTTGTTCAACTTTTGATTTCCTGATGTTGTTGGACTGTACCTCCCATCATCTCCAGCCAGCTTAGCCCAATATTCAGGGGTGATGGAAGTTGTGGTCCACAGGTGTCATGAGACCCATGGCTGAAGATACTGTTTAGAGAAGTAGATATGAGATAATCGGAGAGAAGCTTCGGGTGCAGAGAGGTAGCTAGAGGTTCCTCAATCCTCTTCAGTTTTCCCCCTCTGTCTTGGGATGGGGGATTCTGAATGGTCGAATTCAGCATACACTGGCCATGCTTGCCCAATAGAATGTAAAGTTTAGCAATGGCTCTGATTGCACAGCCTCTGTATAGCACTGTATTAACGCATACTATAATGGGTGCATGTGTCTCTCTCTACCTACAATAGTTCCCTAGTCACTTGGAGGCAAATGCATGCTCGCCATAGGTAATCAGCTGTGCTGTTTGGGGGCAAGGGGTGCATGTTCATGTAACATTAAGCCATTTAGCATTACTTCCTTACAAGACCAACATCATGGACAAAGGTGGGATCTTGTTCGCATTGACTTGTCCGTTAACTAATGGTGACTGGTGTTCATTGGGACTAGTGGGACAGAAGGCAGGGACCCCAAACAGTATGTGGAGGCAGAGCCAACTCATTCTAGTTTTGATCCCATTCTTCTCCCTGCTAAGTTCTGAAAGGGCAAAACTAAGACCCAGGAGGAGGAAGCTGACAGGCTAGATGAAAGTAAGAAGGCAGGCAGTGAGGGCTGGCAGGAGGAAGATTGCGGAGGTGGGACTTGAATTAGTTGGCTCTGCCTGTCTTAGGCTGTGTCTCTGCCTACAGTTGGTCTCCCTGCCTTCCACCCTACCATTCCCATCAGCCACCACTGCCTGGCTCTTTACATCTCTGTGTGTACTGGCCATGCCTCCTGATAGAAAGGAGCACGTTAGATCAGTCACATACAGAGATGCAGCAGAGACACTCCACTGTGGATAAGTGCCTTGTGCTTACATTATTCTACAAGGGGCAACACTAGAGGCAGAAGCTGACAGCCAAGGCCACCACCCCTGGATGGGTTGTAAGGGAGAAGGCAAGCAGGGGTGGACTGTCTGGGAGCAGACTGAGGTTAGTGGGGCATTGCCATCTCCACTGCTTTGAAATAACCCCTGAGGATTCTGGAGCACGTTCTAGGGCACCCACTTGATTCACATCACATCCTGGCCTGTCCCCCTTCTATCTTAAGCTGTGTGAACTGAGGGGGCTTGCTAGAACATATCCAACTCTCCCCTGAGCTTTGCAGATGGCATGTGGATCATATATAGAGAGCAAGTTGGGTAGGGGGTGTTTGACCCTCCAGATGTTCCTGTACTACAGCCCCCATTATCTTTGGCCAGGCTTGCTGGGGCTGATGAGAGTTGTAGTTCAGCAGCAGCAGGAGGGCCAAAGGTTCCCCACACCTGATAACAGAGTCAAAAGGAACTTCAGAGATCATGTGGTCTCCTGGTCAATGCAGCAATCAGTGCAAGAAGACCACTGGGGTGTTGCTGGACTGTTTTTGTTTTCGAAGGAAAGCCTGTCTGCTTCCTGTCGCTTATTGTCGAACTCCCTGCCTTTGCAACTTGGTTTGAAATGTGAGTGCCCCACTTTCTCAGTTATCCACCACTCTTCCTTCCTTCCCCCTCCTCCATTTAGCCCTTTACCTGGATTGTTCCTGGCGTGTTGATGGGAGGAGAGAAGAAAAAGTCAGAGAAAGCCAGGTAGGACATCACTTTCATAAAACCTGTAGGGGTTGTTTTTTTTTTAGTTCACTCTTTCTCCTCCAGTCCCTTTCATCTGTCACTCTCTCTCTCCCAGGGTGCCTTTTTTTTATTAGTGGGGAGAGAGTGACTTTGGATCAGGCTGTGAGTACCCCCCACTGTGGATCTTACAAAAAACGGACAGCTGAGCCAGCAGGAAGTGTGTTCATCTTTCTCTCTCTGGTTGTAAAATGTTGATGAGCTTCTTTAGCCTGTGATCCCTGTCGGTGTGTCTAAGATTCTTTCTCTACTCTTCCCCGCTCCCCTCGCCCCCAAAAAAGATCTGCTGTTCCACCCAGGTCTCTTGCAAGCTCTTCTGTTTGCTCAACTGATGGGACAGGGAAGGACCATAGCTCAGTGGCAGAGAATCTGTCCTTTGTTCAACCTGCAGGTTGGACTGGGAATGTTCTCAGTGTCTGATACTGAGCTAGATGAACCCAATTGTCTGACTCGGTATAAGGCAACTTCTTATGACAAGATCTTGGAAGTTATTTTTTAGAGGAAAGGACTGTGGCTCAGTGGTAGAGCATCTGTTTTGCATACAGGAAGTCCCCCGTTCAATCCCTAGCATCTCCAGGTACGGTTGGGAATGTGCCCTGCCTGAAACCCTAGATGATGCTCAGCTAGAAGGACCAATTGTCTGACTAGGTATAACACAGCTTCCTATTTGTTTGGAACCATGTCATGCTTTTTTAAGAGGGAAGGACTGCACCAACAGTGCTAGAGCATCTGTTTTGCATGCAGAAGGTCCCAGGTTCAATCCAGGTGGGTTTGGGGATGACCCCTGCTTGAAATTTTTGAGAACTGCTGCCAATCAACAAAGACAATACTGTGCTTGAACCAGTGATTTGACCTCTGTATAAGGCAGCTTCCTATGTTGCCATTTTGCAGTAAGAAAGTGTGTGTGTCTTTCTTAAGAGTCAGAAAAGGGCAGCTTAGATTATGTGTCTGGAACTACCTTGGGATTCCACTCCCATTGGGCCCTTCAAGCATGACTAATGGTCAAGGATGACAGGAGCTCTTGCACAGCAACATCCAGGGGATCACCATGTTGGGTATCCTTGCCTTAGATCTTCTGGGGAAATTCTGCTTGTGCAGAATTCTATGAATATCACAGGGCGCTAAACAAGAAGCAGCCACCCCTGTACAGACACCCTTCCTTCTGCCATTTGTGAAGCAACAGCCATGAGCTGCTTCAGACATCTTGTGAAGACTAATCTTTTTTCCTGACCCATAAGATTGTACCCCTTTAAAGTTTATCTTGAGTTCCTTATTTTTAAATTTGTTTTTAATGTGCTTTCATGCTACTGTTTTACTGATCTATGTCAATTTTTTCTTTCAACCATGATGTTTGCTATCTTTATGCTGTGTTCTATTTAGAGGCTTTTCGGGTGGGGGGTTCCCATGTTTGGAAAATGAGAGAGTTACCTCTTCTGGATGGGGTTGTGCTCCCTCTGATGGACTAAGTTCATGGTTTGGACAGGGGTAGCCTCACTGCTATAGTCCATGCACTGGGAACCTTGAACCTAGATTACTGTAATGCGTTCTATGTGGGGTTGCCCTTGGGTCTGATTCAGTAGCTTCATTTGCTGCTGAATGCTGCAGCCACATTGCCGGTGGGAGTTTTGGGTCAATAATATGTAACACTAGCATTTAAAAAGCTGCACAGGCTGCCTACCTGCTACTGAGCCAGGACCAAGGTTCCTGTTTTGATTTACAAAGTCCTGAACAACTTGGGTCCAGGATACCTCAAGGATTCTGGTTTGGAAGCAGAACTGAGGCTGGCTTGGCTCACCTGTGATACGAAAACCATGAACCTTGGCAAACAAAGAGGTTCAGTGTGTTGTATGTGTCAGGATTAGAGATCACAAAGGGAGGGAGGAGCTTATGAATGAGGTGTGATATTTTGTTAACAGTCTGTTTTACCCATGTGTTCAATCACTCTGCTTCTGTTTTTTTTTAAATTAAAAAAACAACAACAGATTACGCAAAGGAATAAACATCCTAATTGCCACTCCTGGCCGCCTGGTGGACCATATCAACTCCACCAAATGCATTCACTTCCGCCACATCCAGTGGCTGATCCTGGATGAGGCAGACAGGTAAGCAGTCCTGGCTGCATCCTCAATTGTTGGAAGTAGCTGCCCATGAGGGAGGTGGGATCTTTGAGACAACACACAGCAGATAAGAATATTGGAAGCTGCCTTATATTGAGTCTGTCTAGCTCAGCACTGTCTACACTGACTGGGGGTGGCTCTCCAGGGTTTCCCCCAGCCCTTCCTGGCAGGAGATGGTAGGCACCGAGCCTGGGGCCTTCTGAGGATGCTCTGCTACTGAGCTCCCATAATGCCAGGTTGCCACCATGAACCAGGAAAGTTGGATGTGTTACTTATCCTCATGCTGTTCCTCCCCCCCCCCCTTATCTCTCACCTGTGTTTCAGGATCCTGGATCTGGGTTTTGAGAAGGCAGTCACTGCGATACTGAATGCCATAAATGCTGACGGTGAGAAGCGGCAAAATGTTCTTTTGTCGGCAACGCTTACAGATGGTAAGTGCTACATAGGTGCTTGTATTTTCATTGCAGCAGCCACTATGGGAGGAGGGGCAGATGGGGAAGTTCACCAGAAAGTTATTGGTTGCAGGGAACTTAGAATCATAGAGTTGGAATAGACCACAAGGGCCTTCGAGTCCAACCACCTGCCAAGCAGGAAACACCATCAGAGCACTCCTGACATATGGTTGTCAAGCCTCTGTTTAAAGACCTCCAAAGAAGGAGACTCAGCCACACTCCTTGGCAGCAAATTCCACTGTCGAACAGCTCTTACTGTCAGGAAGTTCTTCCTAATGTTTAGGTGGAATCTTCTTTCTTGTAGTTTGGATCCATTGCTCCGTGTCCGCTTCTCTGGAGCAGCAGAAAACAACCTTTCTCCCTCCTCTATATGACACCCTTTTATATATTTGAACATGGCTATCATATCACCCCTTAACCTCCTCTTCTCCAGGCTCTTCTCCTCTTCTCCAGGAACTTCTTCCCCCACCCCTACCTGCACCCATGCAAGAGACCTAAGAGGGCCCCCAGCAGCTTTGGCAGGGGTGAGGGAACTTTTTTCGCCCAAGGACTGAATTCCTTTCTGGGCAGCGTTCTAGGGGCAATATGCCAGTGGTGGGTGGAGCCAGAGGCAAAGTGTGGGCTGAGCGCAAATGTAAATTTTACCTTTTTAGAACACACTAGTTTCTACACACAGACACATGACCAGAGTTCAAGGATACATCCCAGCCAGGCTAAAGCACTCAAGAAGGGTATGGAGCAGAGCCAGTGAAGGCTGTGGTCTGGGGAGAGTCCCAAGGGCCAGACAGAGGCCTAGAGGGCCACATTTGTTCCTGGCCCTGAGGTTCCCCACCCTTGAGATACAGTTTTCAACCAGTATCTCATTAATATTTGCAAGCTCCTCTGGGAGCCATTTCATGTTGAAGAACAGGATAAAGAAACAGTGATACTAAATAAATATTCCTCCCCTGCCTGAAACAGGAGTCTCGAGGTTAGCTGACATCAGCTTGCATGATCCTGTTTGCATTTCCATTGCGGAAGGATCACTGGGGTCAAACACTTCCAAAGCAGAAGCGTGTGCTAAGGAGGATGCCGGTGTCGCTTCAGTGAGCCTGGAACAAAGAGGATTTGCTGTACCGGAAAACCTCCAGCAGAATGTTGTGGTTGTCCCAAGCAAGCTAAGGCTTGTGACGCTGGCAGCATTTATCCTTGGGAAGTTGAAGGTGAGGTTCTAGTTCTGTTGGCTGACAGGTTAATGGGTGGGCCTTCCCCATATCTTTTCCTACAGTAGACTTAACATGACCCCTCTCTTAAGGGTTTGTTGTTTAGAATGTAATAACATAAGAAGTGATCAAGCTAGTGACCCATCTAGTCCAGCATCCTGTTCTCACGGTGGACAAAAGTGAGGTGCCCCAATGAGAAAGGACCTCCTGTGAGCAGGACACAAGCACAAGAGCAGTCTCCCATCTTGTGGCTTCCGTCGGCCAGTATCCAAAAGCATTACTGCCTCTGGCCATGGAGGCCAAACATAGTCATTGTGATTCGTAGCCACCAATAATAACCTCCTCCTCCATAAATTTGTCTCCTCCTCTTTAAAAACTACCCCAGTTGGTGGCCATTCTTACATCTTGTGAGAGCAAATGCCATAATTAGAGCGCTGTGCAAAGCAGTCCTTCCTTTTGTCTGCCCTGAATCTCCTGACGTCAGTTTCATTGGATGTCCTTGAATTTTAGTATTACAGTGGTACCTCGGGTTACATACGCTTCAGGTTACAGACGCTTCAGGTTACAGAGTCCGCTAACCCAGAAATAGTACCTCGGGTTAAGAACTTTACATCAGGATGAGAACAGAAATCGCGTGGCGGCAGTGGGAGGCCCCCTTAGCTAAAGTGGTACCTCGGGTTAAGAACAGTTTCAGGTTAAGAATGGACCTCCAGAACGAATTAAGTTCTTAACCTGAGGTACCACTGTATATGAGGGGGATCGCTTTCCACTTCACTTCAATCCAGCTTGGATCAGCCTGGTGGCCCATCTAGTCCAGCATCCTGTTCTCACAGTGGCCACCCAGATACCCATTATGGGAAGCCCACAAGGAGGACCTGAATTCAACAGCAACTCTCCCCTCCTGCAGTTCCCTGCAGTTGGTATTTAGAGGCCTACTAGTAGCCACCAATAGCTTTATCTTCTGTTAATTTCCCCCCACCCTCCTGCGGAATTCCACAGTACACTCAGCCCTTGATTTGTGTCTGTTCTTATTCCCACAGTTTGAAAAATGCAACAAGATGATTGTCTTCTTCTCCAGCTGTGAGCAGGTGGAGTTTCACCACACCCTCTTCCACAAAGTCTTGGCTGCGGACCTTGAGCAGCCATGGCTTCCTCCTTCGCCCTTGACGTTCGCACGCTTGCATGGTGACATGAAACAAGAGGTGAACTGCCCACTCTCCCAACTTCCCCATTCAGGAGCCGGCCAAAATTGGCTGAAGGTTTTCAAAGGCAATCAGGAAGCCTGCTTCTTCCACGTGCCATTTTTGGGATATTGTTCTTTAAAAAGAAATGGGGCTTAGTCCTACTCAGAGTAAACTAATGGATAGCCCTGACTAAATTAGGTCTATTCTTTCAGTGGCTCTATTCTCGGATACTATCCACAGCCTAATAGTGAGTAAGTGGTCTATCTAGCTTCAGTATTGACTGACTGGCAGCAGCTCTCCAGGATTTCATACAGGGCACATTTCCCAGCCCTACCTGATGGTCCCTTGGGACTCTCTGCATGCAAAGCAGCTGCTCTGCCACTGAGCTGTGCTGCTTCTTGTGTGTGAGAGAAGGAGGAAATGTGAGAGCTGTTGGGTACTGGTTAGAGAGTCAAACTAGGGCTGAGACGACACTGGGGTTCAAATCCTCACTCATCTATGAAGTTGTCATTGGACAACTTTGGTTTTCGAAAGGACTTGGGGGGGCCTCAGTGGGGTGCCTAAACAGGAAGAGGCTCTGTCACATTTCCAAGTTGTGTTGCAACTGGTACACCTTGAGAAATAAAGAAGCTGCAGTTATGTCCTCGTCTGCTCCTTTCCCGTGGCACCTGGAAATGTGCTTTTCTTGCCCTTGGAATTCCCAACCTCTCTCCAAGCCGAGAGAGGCAGAGTAGGCTTGGCCTCGCCTGATGCAAACCCCAGCTGTTAAGACAACCAACATACCATTCCAAAGCCAGCAGCAGAGGGAAGATCCTGTCTTTTAGGGCCCAATGTGCAATTAGCCCTCTGTATCTTCGAATTAAGGGCATTAATGGAACTAAATTGTGCCTCCCATACAGCACTGCTGGGCACAGGCTGGTCTCATCAATACAAGTTCCTTTGCTTGGAGTTTGAGGGCAGCTTGGCCTAGTTGCTTTCTTTGGCGCACACTGGTGCATCTAGTTCTATCCTCTTCCATGCCTATTCTGCTCTCATTAATTATCAGCCCTGAACTCAGCTGGCAGAGTTTATTTTTAAAACCTCTGCACTTTAGGTGCAAAAGTGCCTTTAATATGATATGCAGATTTGGCTCTTAGGAAATTGCCTTATAATATATTGAGTGACACCATTGGTCTGTCAAGGCTTTATTGTTACTGCCAATGGACAGCATTAAGTAAACAAGAACAGGTGAGGTCTCTGCAGACTGGAGGTAGCCAAATGTTCCCATCTTCACAAAAAAAGGGGAGGGGGAGAGAAGACCCAGGTACCTACTGACTTTTGAAGTTGACATCAGTACCAGGAAAGGTCCTAGAACAGTCGGTCTGTGAGCACTTAGAAAAGGATATTGTGAATACTAAGACCCAGCACAGGTTTCTCAAAAACAAGTTAGGCCAGACAAATCTCATTTCTTTTTTTGATGGAGTTACCAGTTTGGTGGAATTCTGTGGACATGGTATATCTTGATTTCAGTAAGGCTTTTGACAAAATCCCCCATGATATTCCTGCAAAGAAGGTGGTAAGATGTCAGTTGAATGAGGTAACTTGTTAGGTAGATTTGTAGCCAGAGCCCATACTAGCCCTTGAAGGCTAGTGTGACAGTAAATTAGTTAATTTAAAATCTACCAGTCACTATTAGAGGGGAAAGCCATGTCATCCCCGTTGCAGAACTAAGATAGTATCTAACCAACAAGTTTTCCCATTGCCCAGCCCCTTGTGTTGAAATCCCCCTCAATGATTAACCAATTAAATGGCTTTAATTAATCTACTTATTTGTGTAGCACTATCCAAGTACAGTTTTTGTTACAGCAGTATAAGATAGGTCCCTGCTGCAAGGAGCTTACAGTATAAATAATTAAAAAACCAATTAAACATGCATCATATTTGGTTATTTATAATTAGTTTGCATAATCTTTTTTCCCTCAGCCTCTCACATTGACAGGTCTCATAGGCTCTATCCAAACCCCCAAATCCTTTGTAACCTTTCATGATCCATGTCCTGCCCATCTACAGGATTCATTTTGCTCACGAAGCACACGGATGCTTGCTTCATAAATCCCTTCATTTCTTTTAGGAGAGGACGTCTGTCTTCCAGGACTTCTTGCAATCAAAGACGAGCATTTTACTCTGCACAGTAAGTTACTGGATAATAAGTTGACAGGAGCGGTTGAGCAGTGTATCGCACCATGTAAGCTGGAGTTAACTCTACATTAGCAAAACAGGATATGCACAGGAGTGTCATGTCTGATGAGCACAGCAACTCAGGTCTTGTCCCCATGAGGCAGTTGCTGAGACTAAAAGTCCTGTCTCTCCACAGCCGGTTATGTCTCCTCCTCTGCAGGGTTTTTCCCCAAGCGGTCAGAGACTGTTCCTGCGTGCCTGTCTTTGCTTCTCCCACTTTATGCCTCTCCTGGTTCTGGGAGACTGGGGGGGCGGGGAGGTAACTTATCGCAGCAGGAGAGGGAGACACTCATACCTCTTCACAAGCCTGACTCATCTCTGCTTCTTTGCTTCCTTCCTTTTCTCCTTCAGCTTCTACCTCTGATTCTGGTCTGCTGTCTGTCACAGACTCTCCCCGCTCCCTAAGCCCTGTTACTGCTTCAGCTTCTGGCACCTCCTCCTCCTTCCTCTTCTCTCTCTGACCACTCATCATCATCCAACCCATACTACCACAACTCTGAGTCTTCTCCCCTTGAGGTTTCCCCAGCTGGTTCCTCCCACCATTCTTTAGCATCCAACCAGTCCCTGGCATAGCTTTGAATATGAGCAAGTTTAATTGACACCCAGTTTATCTTGTCATCTGGCAGGGAAGGGCATGGAATGAATTCAGGGTAAGAGGAGTCCAAAATAAAGGAGGAGTGAGGACTGCATGCCTAGTGGATTTCCAGTTGCCATGTCTGTTGTCTGTCTAGTCCTGATTAACTTAGAAAACTAAGAATACTGAGATCAAAGCACAATAACCTGTTTTATTATAAACTCAAACTCGCTTCAAGGGCGGATAGAAGACCATCACTGCTTGTGGGATGCTAGTAACCTTTCTCTCTACTGCTTCAGACTGCTGCATCACTACACAATTTGCTCACTTAGCCATGGCAGCTGTTAAGCCTGGGAAATCTGTGTGTCTCAGTGATGGCTGCCTACCATAAATGTGTAAATTAACAGCAATCAGGAGCCACTGGAGCTGAAAAGTTCTGGCCACCTCTGACGTTCTGGGTTGCCATAACGTGGCTTTGCCTGATGGTTGTTTTTTTTAATTGGAAAATGGTTGCAAGTTTTGGGAATAGGAGCAAGGTGGGCATCAAAGAGTCCTGCTGGATCAGGCCCAAAGGTCCAGCAGCTAATTCCCTTCCACTGCTGATAATTTCCAGTGCCTTTAGTTGCTCACTAACCAAGCAGGAAGAGTGTAGCCTTCTCTTCTTGTCTGTCCTCTGCATCCATATTTAGCAGCAGACTGCCCTTGGGTATAGCAGCTGTATTTCCAATTGCCAGAGCTGTAATGTGGCTAGTCCTTATGGATTTCCAGTTGCCATAGTTGAGGTCCTGTTTGTGGGCTTCCCATTGGGACATCTGGTTGGCCACTGTGAGAACAGAATGCTGGAGTAACCTGGCCTCCATTTTTTTGAACAAGCAGGATTGGCCAGCCGTACTGTTTGGGACCGTTTGGTGCAGCTACAGCAGTCTACCTCCAATGAAAGACTTTTTATGTGGTTTTTTTTGTTTCGATTTTGAATTCCTACTATCTGAGTAGTGAGGAAAGCTGCTTGGATTTTCTGCCTTCGGGTCCCAAAATTATCTTCTCCTGAGAAGTATAAAGCCTATGCTTCAGACTTTCTCTAGAGTGCGTGAGTCCCATGAGCTTGTGTTTGCCACTTGCTGTCGTAACCAGTATGTTTCCCCTGGATCTCCTGTTTATTTCCCTGTGCCAGTTTCTATGGCACAAAAACAATAATGGCAACCACACCCCTCCAAAACCATGGAATTAATAGTAGAAGCCAACCTTTATTTGACTAGTGGGCATTTTTCAAATTTTCAGAGTGTTGGGGGTGCCAGTTAAAAAATGGCTGCCATGGAGTGGGCATGTCATGACACAAAAATGATTTCTGTGGAGCACAGCATAACACAGAATTGAATAGAGAACCACCCCCAACAACTATGCTTACCATGGGAAGTCAGCTATGCCCTATTGGTCCTGATTATGTACATCACACTCACACACACACACACACACACACACACACACACACTGTTGCTGTCTAATAACAAGGAGCATTCCTCAGTATGATGAAAAATATATGAGGTAGCCATGCAGAAATCGCTTAGTGTGTGCCTGCACATTTTGCCGTATAACTTTCTTTCTAGAAGGGCTGGAGAAGGGCTGCTTTTTGTAAAAATAATAATGAAAAATCAGTATGGGGCACCTGACCAGAGGCAGCCCTGAAAACCTTCAAGGTTGATAACCCCTGGTGTAGACAATACTGAGCTAGTATTCTGTTCCTATGCAGTAATTGTAATTTTCCCCCTAAACACGCCAATTAACGTTTGAAAAACAGATCAGGGCTTCTCTTGCGAAATGTCTGTGCTTTCTCCTTCACTGAAGTTCTTTGCTTGCCTTTCTCAGGGAGGTGCCTCTGCTTTTTTAAGGGGGGGGGAGCAAGTTCAGTGAGAGGAAGATCATTTTGGAGATTTGTTTGCCTGTTAACTCCATCACGCTAACTCATCCTGCCAGTTTTCTGGCGGGCGCGGCCAAACGCTTTCGCCCTCTGACAGCTTTCTGCGCTCTCCCCCTCTCCTTCCTCTTCCAATCGTGCAGCCCAATCTGTCACTTGGCCGACGGGGGTCCCTTCCCCGCTGATGGCTTTCGACACTCAGCTGTAATGACTCTTGGCAGGCTGGGAAGTCATGAGAGCTCCTACCTTCCGCTTGGCCCTCTCTCTCCCCACCCCCGACTCTGCCTCTCTTTCTCGCTTCCCCCTGTTTTAGCTAAAGCGCTTTGTGTGTGCCTCTTTTTGGTAAATAAATGAGTCATTTTAATCCAACTGACAGCCTGGCACCTGAACGAGCTGCCTTCCATCTGCACCTTCTAGGCCTTGCGGAGGCTGCCAATTGTCAAGACTAAGGCCTTCAAGGCCTCACCACTGAGTGCCCTTTCAGGAACGACTTCATCAGATTTCTTTCTCTCTCTAAATCTTGGGGATGTTGGTGGGTCCTGAACATTGGGGTTGTACACAGGATCCAAATTTGGAAAGATTTTTAAAACACCCCTGCCTCAGCTCCAGAGCTCCAGCGGTGGAGATGGAAGTGCAGCAAAGACAGAAAACTAACTTGCCATTCATGGTATTTATACCAGGCCAAGCCAATCTAGAGGCTTCGTACTACTGGTAAGACATGGGTGCTGCTGTTTCTTTCTCCACCTAATGGGGGCTTTATGTGCACATAGTCCCACTCACTGCATGTAGACCCCCAGCCTTTGCTCACAAGGGACCTTTTTGATTGCAAGGTTGCTGATAACAAATTAAGCCACCAAGCTCACTGATTTTTCTTTTACTTCCTGTGCGAAAACTCCAGCCTACAAGTCTCCCCAGGTCCCACCCCTTCACAAGCCCCACCCTCTTTTTCTGCAGGCCACGCCCTCTCAGCAACCTTGCTTCAAATCCTTCTCCGGTGTTTTTCGCCTGGCAGAGATGTGGTCTTTGAACTCTAATACAGTGGTACCTCAGGTTAAGTACTTAATTCGTTCCGGAGGTCCATACTTAACCTGAAACTGTTCTTAACCTGAAGCACCACTTTAGCCTATGGGGCCTCCTGCTGCCGCCACGCTGCCAGAGCACGATTTCTGTTCTCATCCTGAAGCAAAGTTCTTAACCCGAGGTAATATTTCTGGGTTAGCGGAGTCTGTAACCTGAAGCGTATGTAACCTGAAACGTATGAAACCCAAGGTAATACCTTTGCTTTTCTGGATGGAGGATAATAAAGAGAAGTATGTACGTTTAGAAATTAGCCAGCTGTACAATAGTAGCTCCAGAAGGGTATCTCTTTAAATTTCCAGAGAGTCATATTTCCCTCCTGGTGCTACAGTTCCCAGAGTTCCCTAGGAAAAGGGACTGATTGCTAACACATGCTGGGAATTTTAAGTTTGGAAGGGGAATGGGTGGGTGGGTGTTCCCTAACAACTCTCAGTACCTTTAACAAGTGACAGTTCCCCCAATCCTTTGTGGGGGCTTGACTGTTTCAAGTGGTATTATGTTGCTTAAGTGTATAGTGTAGATGGGGCCAGATTCTCTGCGAACAGCAACAGCACTCCCATAAAATGTTATGAGACTTTAACTTAATGGTGTGTGTATGTGATATCACACACCAACCGAATCATCTCATTTGGCTAAAGTTCCCTGGAGAAGAGAAGGTGGCTGGACACTGGTGGCGAGAACTAGGGTTAAATGAGCATTCCAAGTAATCAAGTTCTCTGTCCTACCACCCTTCAAAACAGGCACAAAACCACCAAGGAGGACGAAGCCCGAGTGAGGCCTTGAAATGAAATCTGAAACAGGCCATGAGGGCCCCATTCCCTCAACCAGGCAAAGGCAGAAGGGATCAGGACTCTGGTATTTATACCAGGCTAGCCAACCCAGAGGATACATTCTGCCAGCCTGGGGTAGAAGGTGCTTCTCAATTAACCTCCTCCCCTAACGCACCAGTCAGGGCACTGATAGTGGGCCTGACCGATCTAGATGCTTCAAACAGCTAGCCAATGGTAGGAACTGGAGTTGTAGGCTGCTATTCCCTTCTGTGCCTGATGAGGACTCTGAAGCCCCAGGGCACATAGTCCATGGCATGAGTTTACTGGCTGAACCCTCTTCCTCTCTCTCCAGCATTACACTCACTGCTGAACTTTTGTTTAAGAGGAGGATACAGCTTCCAGGACCACTGAGCGTGCCATTTTGGCAAGGAATGAATAGATTGTGTCTCATTTTAGAAGCCAGTTCCTAAAGGGTGGTGTGTGAGACAACAGGGTCTAGCTGCTGCAATGCTCATTCAAGATTCCTTGTCTTGTTGCACCAAACCAGGGACAGGAACCCAAGGGCCACTTTCTCTTCCGGACAAATGTTCAGGGGCCTTGTGCCAATGGTGGGCAGACAAGGAGTACAAAAAATTGCCTTTGCCTGAGAGCCCTGGGAAGAGGAATTGATTGTTAAACTTCTCTCCGGGAGGGGGAATAGGGTTTTCATAACAACTCTCAGGACCCTTAACAACAAACGGATCCCAGGCTTCTTTGGGGAAGGTCATGGCTGTTTAAAGTGGCATCATAGTGCTTTAAATGTGTGGTGCAGATGTGGCTCTAGTTGCACCTGCAGAATCAGAATGACCGTGCGTGAGGGGTGTGAGTGAATGCAAGTGCGATTTGTGTTGGGAGGCAGCTGGTTTTAATTGCAGGAGAAGAGAGCGAAAACCATGCTGGCGAAGAGCTGTAACCAGAGATGATATATTTGCATACTCATTACGGCTTTGCATGGTGTTGTGCCTTGATCTGCTTAAACTAATAACCTCTTTTGGCAGTGTATCTGCTTCATCAAGTGGACTGGGAACAGGCGGCGACTCGACGCCGGTCGCGGCTGGGTGTAATAAATCCCCCTTCTTAACTTGGCAGCTCCTTAAAACTAAATCCAATATCTTGGCATAATGGCATCTAATAAGCTGAAGCGATCGGTCAAATCCAATTTAAATCCCTTAACCCCCCTTTTTTTTGGGCGCTACGAAAGGAAAGCTCAACTAGGGTTGGGTTGGACCTAGATGGAAAGTGTTATTTTATAGTTACGCTTTTATATATATATATAAAAACAAAATTTGGAAATCCTCTTCCAACACTTGTGATCGCTAATTGCAGTTCCAGTTGGAGAGGGCTTTTGTGGTTGGATCCTGCTTGCGGGTTTGCTAGAAGCATCTGGTTGGCCATGTGAGAACTTGAGGTTGGTCTAGATGGGCCTTTGGCTTGATCCAGCAGGACTTTTCTTGTGTTCTTATTTGGCGTTAGGGATTTTTCACCCGCCAGTATAGGTTTCCATGCTGAGGAATGCATGAGTCCCAGATCTGCAGCTGTTAAGATCCCAAGTTTTCTTGGCATATGGCTGGAGCAAACCTTTAAACAGACAGTGTTCAGGCTGAGACTCAGTATGAAATAAGAAAGCTTCTGTTTATTAAAGAAAGTCCATTTTTTGATAGGAAGTCTCTGGTGCTAGCTAACTAATCAGGAGAAACAAATGAGCCAGTTTGCCCCTCAAGAAATTATATCCAGGTAGACTTCACAGCTAGAGGTCCAAGAGAAAGTTGAAGAGGGTGCAATGTAACTCATACAACTTGGGCTTCAGCACAGAGATCAAAGGGACAGATACAGGTTAGGACTCACACCTCTGGCTTGGTTCAGGTGTAAACTTTTGTTACTCTGGGAACAAGTTCTTTGCTTGCACACACTTCCCCTTTCCTGCTTGGCTTCAAGAGAGTTAATTCCTAGTAAACAATGGTTTTCCCTTTGCCTTGCAAAATCTGCTTTAAGTTAGTGTTCAGAAACAAAATGCAAACCATAGCTGCCGGTTCAGACGTAGTGTGTCATTTGTTGAAATCAAGCATGTAGGTGGAGAAGGGAGTTAATGAGCATAGGACTCATTCTTGATATTACACTTTTTTTGTATTTTTCCTGAAGTATGTTATTTAAAGGGCTGTGGATATGCATTCTTCATAGTGCATTGGGTTGAAATATCTTTTTATATAACAACTTATGAACATAAGGTCATGCATATATTTATTTGATTTAATTATACAACTTATTGGGAATTGTTGTTCACGGGCCCTTGCTAGCATTTTTGTTTAGCTCTTCCATTTTGTGGGTCTATAGGGGATGTTCTTATTTGAGTTTAGAATTGTTTTCTTCTTTATTGCAATAGCTTTTTGGAGGTTAAGGTTCTCCCCTTTCTCTACACCCCCGCCCCAATTTCCCATAGAGTGCCAAACCCCAGTTTAGTGTAACATCTCCACCGTTGATTGATTGTAATTTGCTCCTGAACACCTTGGATGAATGACAGGATAAACGATAATAAATGTAGTGAACGTAAACCTTTATAAAAACTGAGCTCATCATACATTGTTCCTTTTCAAAGGATGTTGCTGCTCGTGGATTAGACCTGCCACAGGTTACCTGGATTGTACAGGTAAGTTTTTCTTTCCTTTACTTCCTGTGCATATGTGTGTTGTGTGATTGATGGGTGGAGGGATCAGTCTTCAACATCACGGAAACCTGGTGCAGAGCTCTGGTATGCTGTAGGTTGTGCATCAGGAGTGGGCAGGAATCAGGCTTGTTGATTCTGCTTAGGTTTTTTGCTAGACCTCTCAAGATCTAAAAACCAGAATCAGCCTCTGGCATAATTCTTTCCCAAAGGTCATTTGCTGTGCAGGATGGTTCTTAACAGGAGAAACTGGAAAATTGAGCCTAGGACTTTCTGCATGCAAAGCAAGTGCTCTGTGATTGAGCTACACCTCCTTCCCAAGGCAGCATATATTTTTTTTTTGGGGGGGGGGGCTGAAATCCTGTAGATGTGCTGCCAGTCACCAGCTAGGTGGACCGAATGCTCTGACTCAGTGTAAGGCAGTTTCCTATGCTACGCATCAGAGCAAGGACATATCCCAGCCAGGCAAAACCGCTCAAATCAGGGCAAGTGAAGGGTGTAGTCTGAGGAGTGTCCAAGGGCAGAGAGTCCTGGGAGGCTGCATTCAGCTTCCCTACCTCTGGCATACAGGCACACACTTGCCCCCATGTATGAGCATGCACATCCCACCAACATACTCCTCTAAACATAGATGCTTTCGCCAGTCCTAACAGCAGGTGTTCCACTGACCTGTAAATAAGAGGGCAGTGCTTTTCTGCCATCAGATGAAGGGTGGTTTAGAAATTTAATAAATAAATAAAATAAATGCTGCCTCCTTCCCGAATGGTCATGCCTCTTTTCAGGTGCAGGATTGGCTTGCAGGTTGACACCCCATATTAGATGACAGTGTGTTGGAGACCCTGGGGAAGTTGCTGCTTGTCCAGAAGGCTTGGCTCGGTCATCCGGATAAGCCCGAGGAGAGACCTGTGGGAAGCAATTAGATTACTCTCTGTGTGTCTCGGGTGGCCCTGCAGCCTGTCGAAGGCATGCCAGAAGGCACAGGGGAAAACGATGGAACGGGGCTGTCGCTGATCGGTCTTTAGGTTTCTGATGAGGGAATAAGGAAACGGCAGAGTAAGCTCATACAGTGGTACCTCTGGATGCGAACGGGATCCGTTCCGGAGCCCCATTCTCATCCAGAAGCGAACGCAACGTGCGCGGGTCGCGATTCGCCACTTTTGCGCATGCGTGTGACGTCACTTTGACCGCAAGCGCGAGTGGTGAAACCTGGAAGTAACACGCTCTGTTACTTCTGGGTTGCCGCAGCGTGCAGCCCAAAAATACTTATCCCAAAGCTACTTCAACCCAAGGTATGACCGTACTAGATAGGAACATGGGAATCTGCCTTATTCTAACTCAGGCCCTTGGTCTAGCTAAGTACTGTTTACACTGACTGGCAACAACACTTCAGAGTTTCAAGCAAGGGGTCTCTCCCAGCTCTAGCTGGAGATGCCATTGGGGATTGAACCTGGGACCTTCTGCATGCAAAGCAGATTCTCTGCCACGGAGTCTGTGCGGTGCTTTCCAGGAACATAGGAAGCTGCCTTATATGGAGTGAGACCCTTGATCTATCTAGTGCAGTGTTGCCTGTACTGACCAGCCGCAGCTCTCCAGGTTTTCATGCAATCATAAAATCATTGAGTTGGAAGGGACCCTGCAGGTCATCTAGATTCCAATGCAGGAATCTCAGCTAAAGCATCCATGGCAGATGGCCATCCAACCTCTCTTCAATGAAGGAGAGTCCACCACCTTCCAAGGGAGTCCATTCCACTGTTGTACAGCTCTTACTGTCAGAAAGTTCTTCATGGTGTTTAGTTGGAATGTCCTTTCTTGAAACTTGAATCTATTTGTTTGGGTTCTAGCCTCCAGACCAGCAGAAAACAAGCCTCCATCTTCCATGTGACTGCCCGTTAGATATTTGAAGATGGCTATCTCCTCCCCCCTCAGACTGGGATATCTCCCAGCCCTACCAGGAGATTCCGAGGATTGAACCTGGAAGTTTCTGTGTGCAGAGCAGATTCTCTGGCACTCAGATACATACAGTTCCCACCCCCCCAAAAGAAGGCAGTTCAGAAATTAATTTAATAAATATGGTGCCGCTACAATATGACACTCACCTTCAGGTGTCATTTGAGTTCTCTACCCTTGATACCTTTGCTTGCTAATTAAAAGCATAAACTGGAACCTGTTGCAAAAAAAGATGTGTGTTTTGAAATGATGGGGGGGGGCAACCCAATCAGTCGGTCTGCGAAACTCGATTCGCAGATATGAGTGATTGCCCCATGTTCTAGTCCATCCTAAGGAATTGACCTTGCATGTGTGAAGCAGTCCTGCAAGTGTATGGAATGCAGCTCCCCTCCCCCCCCCCCCCGTTTGTCATTTTTTAACATTTTTGAAGCGTGCACTCAGTGCATGGTACATATACGGTAGCAGTGTAATGTGTGAATCAGCCATCAAATGCCATGACACTGTAAAGCTAAGCCTATGTAAATGCATCTCTCTGCTGAGTAGCAGGTCTCGGAAAGCTTTAAGCAAGCCAATTACTGCATACTTAAGCCAATATAATTTTAAGGGGAACCAACTCAGGTGCGCTCTCTGGGTTTATTTGTCTCGCGCCTATGGCAAGCAGCTGATGCATATTAAGAAAGGAAGCAAATAGGTCACTGATGCCCCCACCTCCCCGCATAGAAACAAATTTTGTTTTTTTAAAAAAAATTGGTGAGAAGACAGCTTGGCCAATGTGTCATATTCATATGTCAAAAAAACCCTTGTTACCACTGTAGCTGTGAATGATGGTTGCGGGGATATGAGGATGATGGGTTCTGATAAGCCATTTCTTTCCTTGGAAAAGGAAGCTGATATGACCTGGGATTTATTTTTCTAAATGACCTCAGACATCACTCTCTCTGATAATTAACCACCCATGCAATCTGCTAATTCCTTCTCTTCCTCTCCAAACTTCCTCTCTCTCTCTCTTGCACATTATTTTTTCTTTTCTTTTTTCTTTTTTAAAGTATAATCCCCCAGCTTCGCTTGCCGAATACGTCCACCGTGTTGGGAGGACAGCTCGGATTGGCAGTCACGGGAACAGCCTGCTCATCCTTGCACCTTCAGAGGCGGAATATGTCAACTTCTTGGCTTCTTGCAAGATTAAGTGAGTCACAAACTCCCCCCCCCCCCGCCGCACTCCTCTCCAACCAAACTTCCTAGCTAAACCAATAATAAGGTATCTGCACTGCTGTGTCTCATTACAAATGGATGGTTGTTGCTACCTTCTTTTTAGAAGGATGTTTTTAATGACAGCCGAAGTATGATTCTCAAAGAGATTAAAAAAAAGAATTCATTACAAAAAAAGAATTAATGAAATTCTCAGTTGGTTGGCATCCTTGTGTCTCAGGAGACAATGGAGGAGTGTGCCTTTTGGGGGTAAAGGCTAGCTATTGGAAGGTTGCAGCGCCTGCTGTGGCTGTAGAGACCGATACGGGAGAAATGATGATGATGATATGATGATGATGATGAAACCAGTGCTACTCCTACTCACAGTAGACCCACTGAAATTGGTGGACATGACTAATGTGGGCCCATTAATTTCAGTGGGGCAATGCAGAGTAGAACTTAGTTCAGCACAACCAATTACTTATAATAATTAATTGTTATTCCTATTAATAGTCCTTTAATAGAGACCATTGCATGGAAGCGAGAAGGTTTAAAACAACAGGAGAGGTTTGAATAGATTGGGGAGGAAGAAATACTGATTTATTTTTTTTAATGTTTTAACAAGGAGATATAGTGGAGATGGGTACAACACAGAAACCAACACCAAAAAGCTTATACAACAAAGCTGTTCTGTTCTCAGTTCCCTTCTAGCTGTACTGAAATCTTATTCCTCTCAGTGTTGTTCTATCCATGCCTTGTTAAAACCTCTGCCATTGTTTTATACAGTCATACCTCGGGTTGAAGTAGCTTCAGGTTGAGTGTTTTCGGGTTGCGCTCCACGGCGACCCGGGAGTAACGGAACGCGTTACTTCTGGTTTTGCCGCTCGCGCATGTGCAGATGCTCGAAATGGCATCATGCGCGGAAGCGGCAACACGCGCAGATGCAGGTTGTGTTCGCTTCAGGATGCGAATGGGGCTGCCGAACGGATCCCGTTCGCATCCAGAGGTACCACTGTACTGCAACTTTTTCCTTCTCATTGTCCTTCCGTCCCTGCTTTACTCAAAGCTCCCCTTCTTCCTTTCCTCAGCTGCCGCATTGGTGAGTGCTAAAGTAGCGCTAAAATATCACTTCACTCCTGGTAGCAAATGTTGCCTTCAAGATGAAGTTCCAAATAGAATGTAGTAATTTACAGCAAGTATTTTATTAACAAGCAAACACTCATGTATGTACACCATCCATCACTTAGCCTTCTCTAACTGAACGAGCTTGCTTTTAAGATGCTATTCATCTTAAACTTGTAGGAACATAAATCTGCAGATGTAGGAGAATAGGGAGGAGGTGGTGTGGAAATGGTGGTGGTCTCTTTGCAAGGTGTAAAAGGAGGCAAAGAGGAGGGGGAGAAGGTGCAGATGAAAACGGGGGAGTGCAAAGGAGGAGATGCAGAAAAGGACAGCAGGGGAGGCGTGCAAATGGGGACAAAGATGAAAATGGAGGTATGAGAGAGGCTGCAGAATAGGAAGAGAAACAGAATAGGGTGGCCTCATAACTGAGTAAAAAGTGAAAAGAGTACTCGGTAGTTACAACATGTGGTCGAGGAGGAGACTTGTTGGGTTATGCCTTCTGGATTTGTATGTGTAAAGCTTTTCTGTTGATGGGAGGCCCCATCTTCGCTGATGCGATAACTTTCCCCCCATATAAGTGGAACCTGCAACAAAAAGTTGCAGTGCGGTGATTTACTGTTCAGGGTGCCAGCCAGTCAGCCATGTCCTCTACCACTATAATCCATTCCATCTCCCCAGTTGGTCTCAGTTCCCCATCATTTCCCACCAGGACTCAGTCACCACAATTCCATGCCCCCTGTGTGTGTTTGGAGGTGGGGGGTGGGTTCTTCTTAAATATTTATTGTACTCCTGCAGGTCTTGAGATCTCACCAAGCCTGCTGCTACTTCACTCTTCTTCAAAGATGGAGCTGTTTGGCTCGATAAACTGGCCTAGGATAATCAATTTGCTGTATAGGATTAGGTGGTTCAGTAGCTCTAAAGTGTTCCACAATTTCTATAGATAATGCTGGGATTTCATTACTATCAATGGCAGCAACAGTAATAGAGAGGGGTGTGCAAGAGAGTGTAAGCTAGCCTATTGTACAAAGGTGAATTTTTGCATTTGTTGTTCCTCCCACTTTTGCCTCTAGCCCTGTTTGAGGCCTCTAGGAAGGCATGAGGCTTCTGAGAAGTTGCCCAGAATTGAATGTGCCCTTGAGCTGTAAAAAAATTCCCCACCCCAGTTAGAAAAGGCTCCCAGTATCCCCCAGGAGGACTGGGGGGGAATAATAAGGGGACAGGAGTCAAGACCCCTTTGTTGTGGGACAGGACCTTGGGTTAGTGGAGTGTTTATAAAGTCCTCATTTCGGAATCTATGAGCCTAATTAGGACAGGTAGGTGCTTCTTACTGTGTGATAGTTATCTATGTGGAACTGGATTATCCCTGTGTGTAAGTAAGAAGGGACTGATAGCAGGCTGTGGGCTTAATGGATTACAGATCAGATCCGGATAGACAGTTCCAAGCCCAGGGCAACACGTGGCATCAAATCTAATTGCCCTTTCCGTTCATAAATGGAGCCTGGTGGAAATTTATCCTGACAATTTCAGTGTGGGAAACGAGGCAGAAGAATGGCCATGTGCTGGTCTGGCGCATAAACTATTGTGCTTTGAAAGCAAAGCTGTTCCACCACCTTCTGAAAGGTTGGTCGCCTGCCTCGTGTCTCTTTTTAAACGAATAAGCTTAATGAACTGATGTAACTGACAACAGTAATAATACGATTTGGGCACATTCATGGCAGATAGCAATTTGCTCTGAGCTAACTAACGCAAACAAATTGCTTTATGTGTCTGACAAGTTGGTCTCTAAGTCCATGAAAGCTTATGCTGTAATAAATTTGTTAGTCTTTTTATTTATTTAGAGCATTTGTGTCCTGCTCTTCAGGTGAAAAGAGTCTCAGCACGATTTATATACAATTAATTAAAACATGACCATTCCCTTGCAAAGATTTAAAATCCACAAGATGCAACCCCAAAGGAAAAGGTGATGGAGAGGGAAGAGGGGGAAAACAAATTTAGGTACCACTTTTGTGGACCAGAGCCCACTTCATTGGATGCATGAAATACTATTATTATATTGACAGATACATTGACGTGGGTGGAGGGAGAGAAGATGTTAGCAGTGTCATCATATGGATATATTATACAATATAAGAAACACAAGACTGTCGTAAGTGCTTGTTCTGCTCAGAGTAGGCCCACTGAAATTGATGGACATGACTAACTTCAATGAGTTTGCTCTGAGTATTGCAACCCACGGACTGTGATAAAGCTTAAATGTACATAAGAACATAGAATGAGCTCTGCTGGATCAGGCCAATGACCCATCTAGTCCAGCATCCTGTTCTTGCAGGGGCTAACAAGATGCCTGTGGGAAACCAGAAAGCAGGGCCTGGATAGAAGAACACTTTCTCTCCATGTGGTTTCCAGCAACTGGTACTCAGAAGCATTGCTGCCTCCAGCTGTGGAGGCAGAGCATAGCTGTCTTGGTTAGTAGCCATCAATAGCCTTCTCCTCTATGAATTTGCCCAATGCTTTTTTAAAGCCATCCAAGTTGGTGGCCACCATTCCCTCCTGCAGGAGTAATTCCATAGTGAGCTGCATGAATAAGTTCTTTCTTTCTTTCTAGTACATTTTTGGTAACATTATATATAGTCATTGCTCAGAAAGCAGCATCGTCGCTTACATACAGGCATTGGTAAACCAATGAATACCTATAGTAAAGGTAAAGGTACCCCTTCCCATACGGGCCAGTCTTGCCAGACTCTAGGGTTGTGCGCCCATCTCACTCTAGAGGCTGGGGGCCAGCGCTGTCCGCAGACACTTCCGGTCACGTGGCCAGCGTGACATCGCTGCTCTGGCGAGCCAGAGCCGCACACGGAAACGCCATTTACCTTCCCGCTAGTAAGCGGTCCCTATTTATCTACTTGCACCCGGGGGTGCTTTCGAACTGCTAGGTTGGCAGGCGCTGGGACCGAACGACGGGAGCGCACCCCGCCGCGGGGATTCGAACCGCTGACCTTTCGATCGCCAAGCCCTAGGCACTGAGGCTTTTACCCACAGCGCCACCCGCGTCCCTATGAATACCTATAGCAGGATTTAAAAACAGATTCAGGCCACAGGTAATGGAACTGAACTTCTAAGCTGTAATTCAGCAGTTTCACACGGGAAACCCCCCTCCCCTTTATCTTGTTCAAGACTGGCTTCTAGCAGCAGAATGTTCTTGCAGGACGAAATGTTAGATAGGAAACTGCTTTACTGAGTCGGACCCTTGCTCCTCCCTCTGGCTCACTTTTGTCCATGCTAGCTGACAGTGGTATCCAACGCCTCTTGTCCCAATATCAATTACAAGATCTTCAGGTGACCATGAAGATGGATAAGAGGCACTTAAGAGACTGTCTCTTTAGGTCTGATGCAGAAAGGGATCTAACTGTGATTGCTTCTACCAAGAGTTCACCATGGTTCCCACTTATCAAAATGGAACATGCCCGAGCCAGATACCTGACAAAGCTCCCACTTGATGTACTAAGAATCGCTTTTACAGAACTACGATTCCAACCAATGCCCTTGATGGTGTTGGATGGACGGTACAGCAAAGTGCATTAAAAAGAGAGACTCTGTCTGTGTGGACAACCCTGCGTTGAGGACCTGTGCTAGCTGACAGCAGCTCTTTAGGAGTTCAGACAAGGAGTATTTCTCCCACCTGGAGATGTTGGGGATTGAACTTGGGACCTTCTGCATGCAAAGTGGGTGCTCTACCACTGAGGTGCAGCCCTTCCCCACACAATAGTCCTTATAAAGGGCTGCATTAAATAGGAACATGGGAAGCTGCATTACACTGAACCATACCTTTGGTTCATCTAGCTCAGTTCCTGGGAATCAGGAGTGAGAAAAGGGCTGGTGCCCTTATGCCCTTGCTTGTGGGCTTCCCAGAGGCATCTGATTGCCATTGTGGAAAGACAGTCCTGAACTGAACAGACAATTGGGTTTCATCTCGCAGGGCCCCCTTACATTCTTAGGAGTTCATAGCAGAGGCAAGAGACAAAACCAACAACTTTGTGATTCATGGCACAGTCTAACCTGGGGAAGGAAGGCCCACCGAACCTAGCAGGACTGCCCTCTGAGGAAACATGGTCCAGATCCATCATTCCTCACCACTGCGCTAGATCTCAATAACCCCCTTTTGGTTCTTCTTGATTATATTAAGTCATAAAATTAAGATATGAATGGCAGAGCGCTTTTCTTTCTTTTTTAAAAAAAGAAGAAGTGGTGTTTTCCCCACTGCTCTGACACATTTGTGAATGAAAATGTCAAAGCCTTCCCCCACCTCCCCACTTGACAGTGATTTCCTGGAGATATAAAGATAACACCCCCTCCCCCAAAATTACTCCTGCTACCCCTGCCATTTCTCTCCTCACGCTTGGCATGCTGCCAGCTTGCAACCTTGCATATAAGCGAACTTCGTTCACTCAGCGGGGAGCACGTCACAGAAAAAGGGGCTGAAGCTGGTGGTGTGTGTGTGTGTGTGTGTGTGTGTGTGTGTGTGGCTTCATGCCTTCACGGGGATCCGCTTTCTTTTATAAACTTCGTTAGGCAGCTGTTAGGAAATAAAGCAATTGTCTGATGAGCTGTCGGCGAGGAAGCCCCTGTGCTGTTCTTACAACAATGCAATCCTTTTCAACCCGTCTCCCCCGCAACCCCCAAACAACCGCAAGTCTCAATCGAAGGAACCAAGAGAGACATAAGCAAACACACACACACACACACAGCAAAAGAAAAATTACACTTTAGAGCTGACTTCCCCTCCACTTTCCTTGTCTATTTCTCCTTTGAAATGTCAGTTTCATTCCATGTGGATGCAAAAGGAAGCTAAATTTTAAAGGTGTGTGTGTGTGTGTGTGTATGAGAAATCGGGGGGGGGGGGGAGAGGCAGGATTGTATAAAATGCTATCATGGTCTTAAGGGAAAGGTTAATGGAAGATAAGCCAAGGTTGAGATAACAACTACAAAACCCAGTTGCACTGAGTTGATACCCAGGACACTGGGTGAGGGTTATATGGATTGGTCTCTTGTTTGCTGCTCTGGGCTCTTTAGGGAGGAAGTTGAGATAGGAAATGAGTAAATAATAATAAATTTTAAATGATTATTGACTATATGGAATTGTGAACAATTTTGTTTTTCACACGTCATTTGCCTCTCATATTATTATGAATCTCTGTAATTTTTTTAAGCCTGCAGGTGCGCCTGCCGTCACTGATGAGCAGCAAACCGACCAAGCTGCCATCAGTGGTGGTTCTTACCCTCTGTAAAATGGATGCAGGGTCTGTCCTCAGAAGGATTGCTGGAAGGAGGAAGGGAAGAGGGGGGATGGCTTGGTGGCTAGCCTGAACTTAAAGCAGGAGTTGTGGGATTCAGCACTAGCAATTCTACAACAATAGCCTCATTTTAGAGACATTCCATCCCTCCTACCACACAAAAAGGGCAATATTCAGAAACCATAGTTAACATTTTGGCCGCATTTATGAGGAAGGACTGTAGCTACTTTCCCTACACCTTTCTCTTGGTCCTTCCCATCTGCAATATGGAGATGACAATATTGGTGTGCCTTACAGGCTGGTGAGCATTTTGGATTGTGTGTGTGTGTGTTTATGTGTGAACACATGAACACCAGGGCAAGATGGTTTGATCATATAATGCCAATCCTGACCTGACTGTAATGGCTGCCAATTAGTTTCTGAGCCCAAGTCAAAGTGCTGGTTTTGACCTATAAAGCCTTAAAACAGCTCAGGAGCTCAATACCTCAAGAACTGCCTCTCCCCGGACCCCGTGATCATCATCTGAGGCCCTTTCCTTGAGCCCAACCCCCATGAGGGGCCCAGAGGGCGACAACATGATAACAGGCCTTTTCTGTGATGGCTCCACATTTCTGGAAGTCTCTCCCCAGGGAAGCTCATCTGGCACCTTCATTAAATAACCTTAAGCACCAGGCAAAAACATTCCTCTTCTCCCAAGCCTTTGGCTGATGAAACAATATATGGCCTCTTAAATGTGTCTGGTGTGTGTGTGTGAGGGGAAGCTATTGCCCCCCCCATTATGTAATGTGTTTTTATGTTGTAAACCGCCCTGTGATAATAGATAGATAGATAGATAGATAGATAGATAGATAGAATAAGCACCCGGTATTTTGTGTGAAATACCTGGATGGAGGATAGAGAAAGAGTGTATTTCTATAGAAACTAGCATACTGCGCGGGTGGCGCTGTGGGTAAAACGTCAGCACCTAGGACTTGCTGATCGCATGGTCAGCGGTTCGAATCCCCGCGGCGGAGTGCGCTCCCGTCGTTTGGTCCCAGCGCCTGCCAACCTAGCAGTTCGAAAACACCCCCGGGTGCAAGTAGATAAATAGGGACCGCTTACCAGCGGGAAGGTAAACGGCGTTCCGTGTGCTGCGCTGGCTCGCCAGATGCAGCTTGTCACGCTGGCCACGTGACCCGGAAGTGTCTGCGGATAGCGTTGGCTCCCGGCCTCTAGAGTGAGATGAGCGCACAACCCTAGAGTCTGGCAAGACTGGCCCGAACGGGCAGGGGTACCTTTACCTTTACCTTCAATGTTTATATTTGTTGCTTTCTTACTCATGGCCCCGCCCACCACTGGCATGTGGCCCTCAGAAGGTTTCCCAGAAGGGAAATGTGGCCCTCAGGCTGAAAAAATGAAGCTACACACCTTCATTATAGCCCAGCAGAACCTGAATGGCATCGCCTTGGGCTACCCTTGATGTAGCACTATTTTATTTTATTTTTAAAGTGCCATTTCTAGACATGATTTAATAAAATATGCGCTAAATAACAAAACATGAGTGATCTTTCCATCCCTTGTTTTTCGCCTTCCAGTGTTTCAGAGATGAAGATGGAATCTGTCCTGTCCAGCTTGATGAAAGATGACCGTTTCAAGGGCAGCCAGAGGGGAAATAAGGTGAGTTCTTATGGAAGAGGGAACCCCTCTCTCCCTCCATGTTTCCTTCCTTTCTAGGGAGGAAAGTTAAAATGTTTGCAGTCCTTTCTCCTAATCACAAGAGGCATTACTTCCTGGGATGCTCAATGAGAATGGACCTAAGATTTGGTCCACCAGCTCTGTTCTTATACTCTTCACTTAAAACTGGGTTTGAGGATTAGGTGAACGACCTGTTCTGGAGGGAGATGGGCCTCTGAAGGACCAGGTTCACAGTCTGGGGGTTCTCCTCCTCCTCTTCTTCCTGTTGTTGTTGTTAAACTTATTACCTGTCCTTTACCAGCAGATCCTAGGGCTGGTTACGGCAATTCAAAATTCAGAATTTAAAACAGTCTGAAATGAATTGCAGTCCCAGGAATAAGGTGGGCCCTGAAAGCACACACTTATCAGGTGTCAAAGGCCTGGCAGAGAGGTGGATCTTCAGCATTCATTGAAAGCTGTATGGGAAAGTGGCAGCCACACGTCTGTGGTGAGGAGATTCCACAGAAAAAGTCCTCTGCAATCAGTTCATGGTGAAGAGTGGGATCTAAATTGGACATTTCATCACCTGAGGATGGTACTGCTTGAGGAAGGTATAGTGGGAAAGATTAGTAAATGTCTTCCCTGCTACACACCTTCCTTAAGTGTTTCTACCTGGCTGGAATGGGTCCATGGACTCTAGTAATGCCTTTAGCTTGCCTGGGTGGAGGATTGTGTGAGAGAGAGAGAGAGCAAGAGAGAGAGAGAGAGAGTCAATTAGCATTTGATCCTGCACCCACTTTTGCTTCTCTCTCTGACTACTGCTGGCATGGGGCTGCTAGAAGGTTGCCTAGAATGGAATGTAGCACTTAGGCTGAAAAGAGTTCCCCAACCCTGGTGTAAAGCAAACTATTTGCTTGCTCATCTATGGTGAGTCGGAAACTCCATTTAGGAGATAAGGCTTGGAAAGCATTGCAAAAGTGGCTTTTTTCTTTTTGGCCCAAATGACTAGCATCAATACACGTTGGCCATTGTTAGCTACTGGGGATTGCCTTGAACAGCTGTGTTCCAAAGTTGACCTTGACCTTGCAGCAGATCAGAAACTACTTATTATTTCTGTGGAAGGTTCCCTGTCCCTGGTATCCTAGAGCCACCCAGTCAGCATTGAAAGGGACCTTTTTTAGCCACTGAGAAGAAGTTTCCTGGCCCTTTGTGCTGATTAGAGCTGATCAACTTGGAAACTGAGTGTTCTGCCTTCTTCCAGTTCTTTGCGTGCTTCCAGTTTTTTCAGTGTATGAGGCTTTACTGAATGAACCTCATCATAGCTTTCTCTCCTTGCAGAAGTCTTCACTGATGTCCATTATAAATACCCCTTTAGAGTGTGTGTGTGTGTGTTTGGACTTCTCTGAGGAGCTGATGGAGGAAAAGATGCCGAAAGCACCTGTAAAATGTATTTTTTATCTTTAGGCACATGAAATATATATGCGGCCGCGTCTGGGTGTGTGAATGTTCACCGGCCTACAAAGAGAATACATTTGATCTGCCTGCACTTTTTCTGCCAGGCTGGGGGAGGCTCTGAGCGGGGGGCACGCTCTGTGTGTGAGAGAGAGGCTTGGAAGGTGCAGGGCAAAAAGTTGCTAAAAACAAAAATCTTCATTTTGTATGTATTCCTTTAAAAAAAAATCAAGAGAGAAGGCATTGCAGTTCTCACCTTGCTTCCTGCCCACCACCAACTGGAAGGAAGATGCCTCCCTTTTATAGTCAGGACAAATAAAGTCCTTCATGCAGCGCATAGTTAAACTATGGAACTCACTGCCACAGGAGGCAGTGATGGCCACCAACTTGGAAGGCTTTAAAAGAGGATTAGACAAATTTATAGTAGAGGACTTTTTAATAAAATAGCATCAATCAGTTCCAACAAAACCTGTACATGGTTACATGCTTACTTCAGTCGCATCTAAAAAGAAAAGTTGAGTAGGGACTCTTAATCCAATGACTGAATCATTGAATGTAAGCATGAATGGCTGGAGGTTTTACATTTAATGTCATGTCTGTTTACTTAGCTGATATACAGGGACCACACCTTATCATGATATATATAGCTATATTATTATGTGAGCCAGTGTGGTGTAGTGGTTAAGAGCGGTGGACTCGTAATCTGGTGAACTGGGTTCGCATCTCCGCTCCTCCACCTGCAGCTGCTGGGTGACCCTGGGCTAGTCACACTTCTTTGAAGTCTCTCAGCCTCACTCACCTCACAGAGTGTTTGTTGTGGGGGAGGAAGGGAAAGGAGATTGTTAGCTGCTTTGAGACTCCTTAGGGTAGTGATAAAGCGGGATATCAAATCCAAACTCCTCCTCCTCCTCCTCCTCCTCCTCCTCTTCTTCTTCTTCTTCTTCTTCTTCTTCTCAGAGTGAATGTATTTATTTTGACCTCTGCCAACCCTCCTGTGTTGCATTAGGTGCTCAGAAACAGCTGAACCCCAAACGCCATCAGAGATGGTCCTTTGGAGTCTTTCCAGTGGGAGGCTATATCTAAACAGGCATCTATCCTAACTTATGGATCACAGCAGGATATGAATGCAGGGTCCAGCTGCAGCAGGGGTGGGGAGGCTCAGGTCCAGGGGCCAGCCCACACTCCTTACTGGACCTGCATCAGGTGTTTTTGCCTGGCTGTGCCCTGTGATGTGACCTAGTTCCTTGACAGTCCCTCTTCAGTCTACCTAGATGAAGGACAGATGGGTGAGTGTGTGCAGAAACTAGCTTGCTGTAGAAAGGTAAATTCTACATTTGTTGCTCTCCCCACTTTTGCATCTGGTCTGGCCCACCACTAGCATGTGGCCCTCAGAAGGTTGCCCAGAAGGAAAAGTGGTCCTCAAGCCATATCTGGTTTCCCACTCCGGAACTGCAGCTTCCCTGACATATGATTTTAAACTGGGGATGGGGAACCGAGGCTCCTCCCAGACTGAGGTTGCTCCACAGCTCCCACCATCCTGGATCACTGGCCAGGACTCCCCACAACATCTGAAGTTGCCTTTATACTGAGTCAGACCATGGGTCCATCCCATTCAGTGTTGTCTGCATTGACTGGCAGCATCTCTCCAGAGTTTCAGACACGGAGTCTCTCCCAGCCCTACCTGGAGATTGCCGAGGATTGAACCCGGGACCGTCTGTATGCAAAGCAGTTGCTCTCCCATTGCTTTGTGGCCTCTCTCCCCCTTAGGATATATAAAGCTACCTTATATTGAGTGAAACCCTTGGTCCATCTTATTCAGTGTTGGATACATGGGCTGCCAGCGCCTCTGGGGTTTCTGGCAGTCTCTCCCAGCCCTAGCTTGCAACGCCATTGGGGATTGTACCTGGGCCCCTTCTGCATGCAAAGTAGGTGCTCTACCACTGAGCTATGGCTCTCCCTGAACTAAGCTTCTAGTCCTTATGTTTCTGAATTAAAGGCTGTTTTAAATCTGCCTTATACAGTGGCCTAGCGTGGGTTGTCAGCACCCGGGGCAAGGCAAGTAATTTGCGCCCCCTAACCCGTGGATTTTAGTAGGGGCAGAGAGCTGCGAGTGCGAGCGCCCCCCCCCCGATGTTGCGCCCGGTGCGCCCGGCCCCCCCTGCACCCCCCACGCTACGCCACTGGCCTTATATACTGAGTCAGAACCAACTGAACATCTAGTTCGGTATTGTATACGTGGACCGGCAGCAATTCTTCAGGGCTTCAGAGATATTGGTGATTGAACTTGGGACATTCTACTTGCAAGGCAAATGTTCTGCCATGAAGCTGTGGCCCTTCCCCTAAACTACAGGTTCCTGGTCCCTATTGTAGAGGTTCATACCATAATGTGAATACTTGGTGCTTGTGTTTATTATTCCTGCAGTGTTAAGTGCAGCTTTAGCCAGTATTTCTTTAGGTGTGCGCCTATGATGTGTCAAGCATAAACCTGGAAGTTTGAGGTTAAGTGTGAATGCATCCAAAGTGGGTGGAATTTTTTTTTGGGGGGGGGGAAGGTTACAGGTGTGGTCATTGGCTACAACTCTACCCTATTTCCAGGGTGGCAGGTAGTACTTTGTGTGTCTGTGTCCTGCGTATTTTCCCTTTTCAGCTCTGAGTCAGTTTTTAATTTTAGATTTTTCTTCCTTTCCCAAGACCAGCCACCCTGGAAGGCAGAAATCAAAACATGCCCATTAGAGTGCAGTTTTTAAAAATAAAATCGCTCCCCGGGGGAGGGGGGATGAGAAGATGTATAAAGAGAATGGTGGAACTGTGTGTTGGCGGGGGGTTGATGCTAGTGGCGTGGGTTTCTTTTTTTAATGTGTTGTATCTCCCCCCCCGCACTATTTCCTTCTCTCTCCCCCCCCCGTTTGTTTATCTCTCTCTGACCCCCAAACTTGCTTCTCTACCTGCTTGTACATAGGAGTTTGTGTGTGTATGTGTATACACCCTTGATGAAATTGTTTTTTAAATAGATATATATAAACAAGTCTTCCTCCCTTCTTTTTCTGGAAAAAGGAGAGATGCCTCATTCTGAAACCTAAAAGGTGGGAAGATTTTTTTGGTGGGGGGGGGAGAGGGAGAGGAATGGTGTGGAAGGAGAGAGAGAGAGAGAATGAGGAGTCCTTTGTAATATATTGCCATATTATCACTAAATCCCCAGACAGTTGTGGCATAGAAGCAAGTCACCTGTCACTTAAGTTTGAGGTCTCTTTAATTTTCTCCTGGAATTCGCGCCGGGCTGTCTTTAATTTGAGGCCTTTATTGGAATTCGGGAACCTTTCCTGCCTTCCCTGGTGCTCAGATCTATTCTGAGCTCAGATACAGAATGTATACAATAACCATCAGAGGGATTTGGAGAGGGCTGAAGCGCTGTTTATTTAACACTCTGGAGGGATTTTCGGGGTTTATGCCGTCCTCGCTGCCCGCTTTCAATAACGCTTTTGACAACCGTTCTGCCCTTCTCATTAATTTTAAACAGTTAAAACACCGGGAGGGGGGTGAGAGGGGAGGGG